TGCCAGAATAGATTTGAAAAATATGACCCAACTATATGTTGTCAGCAAGAACCTCACTTCATATATAATAATATGGATAGGGCACAAATAAAAATATAGAGAAAACTTATCAAGCAAACAGCAATCAAAAGAAAGATGGAGTCACTGTATTAATATTAGAAAAAGTAGATTTTGAAGCAAAAAATAATTCTCAAATATAAAAAGGCAGATAGTATAATGGTAAAACACTTGACTCACCAGGAAGACAGAACAATACTAACTGTGTGCACACCCAATAATGGAACTTAAAAATAGAAAAAGCAAACTGTTCCAACTGAAAGAAGAAATTTAAAAATGTATAACAAACATTGGAAACCTCAACATTCATCTCTCAGTAAATGACAGAACTATAAACAGAAAATTACAGCGATATAAAAGAACTGAACAATACCATCAACCAAGTGGATCATAAATTCTATAAATCATACATTTATAGAACAACGTATCGATCACTAATAGACTACATATTCTTTTCAGTTGTACATAGAACATTCACCAAGAAAGAATAAAGGAAACCTTAACGAATGCACAATTATTGAAAGCATATGTAGTAGGTACTGTGATCGTAATGAAATTAAACCGGATACTGAAAACAGAAATATAACAGAAAATCTACAAACATTTGGAAACTAAGCAACATACTTCCAAATAAATCGTGGATCAAAGGAAGTATCAAGGAAGTTAAAATTTACTTTGAATTGAATGTAAATGAAAATACAACATAAAATTCATGGGATGCAGGTAAATCAGTGCCTAGAGGGAAACAAATATATAGCATCAAATGCCTACATTTAAAAAGAAAAAAGTCTCAAATCAATCATGTAAGCTTACGCCTTAAGGAACTAGAGAAGAAGAGCAAAATAAACACAAAATAAGAACACGGAAGGAAATAATAAAGATAAGAAAAACAATCAATGAAACTGAAAGGGGAAAAACAATAGGAAAAAATCAGTAAATCCAAAAGCTGTTTCTTCGAAAAGATCAATAATATTGACAAACTTCTAATGAATTTGACACAGAAAAAGCTGGAAGATGAAAATGTTCAATACCAAAAAGAAAAAATGAATGCTGCTACAGGCTTCACGGACATCGAGGTAAGGGAATAGCAGGAATAACTACACACACAAATCTGACGACTTAGTATGAACCAGTCCTTGCAAGAAAAAGTTATCTAACTCATCCAAGATGAAATAAATATCCCAAATAGTCCTATAACTATTTGTAAATTAAATTTATGATTGAAAACCTACTAAGAAAGGAAATTTGCAGGCCCAAGTGGTTTTATTGACAAATTCCAATAAACATCTAAAAAATGATAACAATAACAAATCTACATAATGTCGTCCAGAAAGCAGAAGAGATGGGAACATTTCCCAGCTCATTTTTTTTTTTTTTTGCAAATGGCATCATTTGATAGAAAAGCCAAAGATAATATAAGAAAATAAAGTTAAAAGCAATTTTCTTCACTGACACAGACACAAGAAACCCCAGTAAAGTACTAGCAAATCAAATGCTCAATATGTAAAAAGAATAATATACCACGACTAAGTGGGCGTTATCCCAGAAATATAAAGCTGGTCTGATCTTTTATTATCAATCACTTTCATCCACTGTATTAACAATCTGAAGAAGAAAGCCCATATAATCACATCAATTGATGCAGAAAAGGCATTTGACAACATTTAATATCCACTCATGATACTTAAAGGAATAAAAGCATCTGTTGTTGTTTTTTGAACCCTATCGTTAACATCATATTTAATGATGAAAGACTAAATGATTTTTTCTTAAGATCAAGAACAAGGGGAAAATGCCCATATTTACCGCTCCTGACATTGTAGTAAAAATTCTGGAAAGTTCAAAAGAAAAGAGAAAAGAAAAAGAAAAACTGTGTGTGTGTGTGTGTGTGTGTGTGTGCACGCGCATGTGCACGTTGTGTGTGAAATAAGAAAAGGAAGAAATAGACACAGGAAAACACAGGAGTAAATATCCGTGACCTTGGATCTGGCAATGGATTCTTAGATATAACATTAAAGGCATGAGCAACTGATGAAAATAGATAAGTTTCACTTCAACAAAATGACAAAATGAAAATGTTTGTGTACTGAAGTACATATTAAGAAAGTAAAAAGACAATCTTCATAATAGGAAAATATATTTGCAAATTATATATCTGATAAGGGTCTATTATTCAGAATATATGAAGAATGCTTACAACTAAAAGACAAAAAGATGGGTCAGGCATGGTGGCGCACGACTGTAATCCCAGAACTTTGGGAGGCCTAAGCAGGAGGGTCACTTGAGGGCAAAGGTTTGAGGCCACCCCTGGCAAAATAGTGAGACCCCATCTCTACAAAAAAAAAAAAAAAAAAAAAAATAGAGAAATTAGCTGTTTGGTGGCGTATACCTGTAGTCCTAGCTGCTCAGGAGGTTGAGGTGGGAGGGTCACCTGAACCTGGGAGGTTGAGGCTGCAGTGAGCCATGATTGTGCCACTGGACTCCAGCCTGGGTGAAAGAGTGAGACCCTGTCCAAACATAAATAAATAAATAAAAGACAAGCAACCTAATTTAAAATGGAAAACAAATTGAATAGACCTTTCAAATGTCCACCCAATGTATAAAAAGTCAAGAGGCACATTGAAAAGATGAAAAGCATCATGAAAGTGCAAGTCAAAACCACAGCCCCTTTATACCCACTGAGATGGTGATAATCAAAAATTGGAAAATCGTAAGTGTGGGAAAGGACTTGTAACCAGAATGTGCAAATAAGTTTCAGAATGCAGCAGTATGACAGCAAGCAGTCCAATTGAAAACCTGAGCAAAGGAGCCAGGTGTGGTGGCTCGCACCTATAATCCCAGCACTTTGGGAGGCCGAGTTGGGCAGATCACTTGAGTCTAGAAGTTTGAGGCCAGCCTAGACAACATGGTGAAACCCAGTCTCTAAAATATACAAAAAAAAAATTGCTGTGTGCATTGGCACACGCCTGTAGTTCAAGCTACTCAGGAGGCTGAGGTGGGAGGATCACTTGAGCCCAGGAGGTGGAGGTTACAGTGAGCCGAGGTTGTGCCACTGCACTACAGCCCGGGCAACAGAGTAAGACCCCATCCAAAAAAAAAAAAAAAAAAAAAAACACTGAGGATTGAGCAAAGGATTAATAGATATTTCAAAATAAAAAGGATATACAGACAGGTAAAAAATGTTCAACATCTTTAACCAATAGAGAAATACAAATGAATCATAATTAATGCCACTATATACTTGTGAGGAGACCACAGGAAAAAAAAGAAAAGAAAAGAAAATCTGGCAATGCCAAATGCTGGAGGGGATGTGAAGTCACTGGAGACTGCATTGGTTGCTGCTGGAAAGGTAGCATGGTGCAGCCATGCTGGAAGATGGTTTGGCAGCTCCTTAGAACGTTAAACACACCCTCCCCGATGGCATAGCTCTCTTAACAGTACTGCACATTTACCCAAAAGTAATGAAGACTTCCCTTCACATGCAAACCTGAATGTGAATGTCTGTTTCTATTTATAAACACCAAAACCCAGAAACAACCCAAATATCCTTCAACAGGTGAACAGATAAGGGAAGTGTGGTATGTCTACAAAATGCCATCTGACTCGGCAATAAAAAGGAATAAATTATTGATCCACATAATGACTTGGAGGAATGTCCAATACATTATGCTGAGTGAAAGAAGACAGTTTCAAAAGTCTATTGTTCCAGTCTTGAATAGACAATCTATGATGGGGGAGACTTCCGCGGATGACGGCCAGGTTAGGGTGCATGAGAGTGTTATACATAGCCCGGGGCTGAAGGAGGATTTAGGTGGTGAAACTGTTCTGTGTGCTGATTTGGTTGTGGCTACGTGAACCTATTTATATGTTCAACATTCAGAGAACTGTACATCAAAATAAGTCAGTTTTATTGTAAGTTAATTTAAAAACATAAAAGCTGCTTTCAGAATAACACGTATAAGATTCATGGGATTTGAATGTTGGGATCCACAAGGTCGTATCTTCTTTGTACTTCCCTAGGGATACTGAATTGTATATAACAAACATGATAAATGAACTTGATACAAATTTATGTATGTATACATATTTTGAATACAAAATTTTGGATACAAGTTTGTTTGTTTATGTTATATACTACATATATACACATATAAATATATATAAATTTTGTATACAAAATATATATACATATACAAAATGCTCTAAAGTGGCTCTTAATACCGCTCAGTCACTTCAGTAGAAACTAAGCCTAAGGATTTTAATTTTCTTCTCTGCTGTTCTACATGCTAAGGAGAGTAAAAGAACCGTTTTCATTGGTTTTGTCAAAGGCGGGGACAAGGTGACGACCGAGTCCCTGCCGCGTGGGCTGCCTGGAGCACCGTGCTGTGTCATCCGCGGTCCTTCTGTCTTCACAACAGCTCTGGCGGGTGACTTAACTGAGAACATCACCATATTGAGAGCTTTTCCCTGAGTATTCCGTAACACTGATTCTCCAGGGACTGTAATCTGATCCAGTTCAAACTGAAGCTTAAGTCATTAGGGAAAAGAAATCTGCCATCTATTTTTTTTTCTACATCAAGTAATACTTGATATCCAGCCCTCTGCTCCACCCCTACCTACTGTATAACTAAAATCTCAGTTCCAAGCCCCCAGTGGATTCACCCTTAATGGCTATGTATGTGCGCTATTCATCTCTGCTTATCTTGCATTTAACCCACGCCTGGGAAGTGGCATTTGTACAATGAATGAATGGTGGATGGAGAGATGGATGGCAGTTGTCTGGGGGGACAGATGGAAGGATGCAAGGGAGGGAATGAGGAGGTGGCAAAAGAGGAAGAGAGAGAGAACACCGGTATTTTTTTTCCTTGTTGTAACCACCGTAACTCACCCCCAGTCTGTGACTCTCATTTGGAAGAAGTGCAAAATAAAAATGATCTAAAGTATGCAAAGCTTACAAATTTATTAGCAGCTGGTGCAGTTAAGTTTCTTTTAATGCTTCTGTGGCAATACTAGCAACAAATTAATAAAAGCTTAATTTTTAGACAAATAGTTTTATTACAAATTTGAATTCTTAAGAAATACACATTTAAAGAAATTACATAAAAGGCCTTAGTAGTCTTAAAAACGTTTTTGGAGACTTTTAGTGAAATGTCATTTCAGGACTAGTGGTCCGAATCTGCCCTCCTGCGGTCCGTCCGATGCCCTGCTGAGGTCTGTGAACACAGCTCATGAGAAACCACGGAAATGGCCTGAATGTGCTACGTGTAAAAATACTGATACTGTGATTCAACAGAGCTGGTTTTCAAGCCAGGATGCAGAAGGAGGAATACCAATGAAATGACGGCCTTTAAGGTTGTTGCTTTTGAAGTCAAGTCATTCAGTTTGTGATTAGTGTTTAAAACCCTGAAAATATTTAATACAGAATAAAAACAATAAGCTCAAAGTACATGTTTCACTATAATAGACACCATATTCCTGAACCCGGGTTTGGTTTTGGCAATACATCATTTTTGGTTTAGAAGTGAACAATGGAAACAGATGTTTCACATTCAATATCCTAGTCTTTAAAAACTATGTTAAAGGACAGCACAGTCTTTCAAAGGAAGAAAACTACGTAAGCTTTATTTTAACAGTGGAAGTTAAACTAAACCTTGATCTGCCTAATTGTTGACATCTATATAAATTACTAATATATATATATATATATATATTTAATTTTCGACTATTTTTGGACCATCTTTATTCCACAGGAAAGTTGTGATTTCTGCAAAAGCAGCTGCATAGTACCACACATAGCAGAAAGACAGAAATTTATATTTAGGGGTTGGAAAACATGGCTACTGAGTCTGTAATTCCATTTGGAGATTCAAAAAACCATTTTTACATTGCTATTATTTGTACAGACCAAGGGATCTCAATTTTGAAACAGCTAGACAGTGATATAAACAAACATTTATCTCTGGGGGTAGAAAATTAATTATAATACAAGAATGAAAATGGGCAAACAGTATGGAAGGCAGCCACACCTCCTAGCACCCTTTGGTTTTCTGATGGAGTTCTCACTTCACACATCAGTGCATTGGATTGCAGAACAGATTGATATTTTATTTCATCAAAAGTGCCATTTGGTATGCCACTATTGAAAGCTTATCGCTGTCTTTTTCTCCTTCAGCAAGTAGAGGTCAATGAAGCAGAGTGTGTTAGTTATGCAAATTCCTATAAGGCACTTTGCGGTTTTCATATTGGACAGTGAGGTACACAGGATATATTTCTAGGATTTGTTGCTGTTAACAAAAAGAAGAAGAAGTAGCACCATGTTGTGACATTAGCTGAGTCAGGCTTCATTATGTTCTTCGCATACAGACTTGGCAACGGCTGACGTGCGTGCGCAGCTCCCCTGCCTTCAAGGTGGACGGCGTAGGCTTCCTGCAATACAACACAGAGACAGAGCACTGGCCATCAGCTCACGGAGCATCAGAAACACGGCATGCCTGCCCTGCTCAAGAATCTCAAAGGGATCAGGCCCAGCCCCCTGCATCAGGTCCCAACCTGGTACCGCCCAGTGACTGCTGTCCACCTTACCGTGAGCAGAGATGTGCTGGGCGCAGCGCAGGTGTGGCCTCAGGCACACAGAGCCCTGCGCGGGACCGGCTGCACACCCAGGCCCTGACACCTGCCCAGTGCACACTTCAGCCCCGCAGGGTACAGCTGAAGCCCGCCACAACCTTCTGACTCCGAAGCCCTGGACATTCCCCTCTCGCCACCCTGCCTCCTCCTACTACAATCTCACTTTTTGTCTTTTCTCCTCCACTAGATCATAAACATCTCCAGGGTAAGAAGAAGATACTATTCTCTGCAACACTTTGCACACATAGTAAGTGTTCATTAAATATTTGGGGAATGATGTGATGAGTAATAAATCTGGGGTAATTCCCAAGACCTCGAAATACTTTGATAACTCTTGAAGGATTTCTATGCAGATGGTCTGCTTTGAGGCCCCAAAGAGGTAAAGACATTTAATGTCCCAGATGTTTCCCAAGCTTAGAAACTCTACATTATTTTGATTATTGAAAAGGTAGAATCTAAACCAAAATTGGTACTGAGAAAATTCTATTAAAATTAAAATAGTCATTCATGAGAGTGCCTCGTCCTAAGATTGAGGCTGCTTACTTCAGCAACTTTTGATGGAAATTCTAGTGCCCTCAAATTTATTATTTAAATTAATGGGATCTTGCCTAATTTTGAGAAAACATTTTAGTTTATTGTATCAGGCTGCTGGTTCAAAAAAAAAAAAAAAATCCCATCATTACCTATCAACCCTAGAAGAGGACGTGCCAGGAGCTGGAGGGTGAACAAACTGCGCTCATTTTGGTGAATGGTTAAACTCTAGCTGCAGCATTGATGTCAAGTTTCCAGCTCCCTGAAAGCCTCTAATGAACCACCAGTTAGGCACATGGCACTTTTTGGATGAGTTACAAGAGGAGTGAGCATGTTATTCTGCCTCTTAGGATCTAAGTTGGAACGAGACAGGATCATAGCAGAGTTCCATATAATTCTCTCCAAAAAGGTGAAGACGGAAAGGCTTATCTCCAGGGGTGAGAAGCACTTGTTTTGGAAATGAACAGTGAGCGACTGTGCCAGCTCTGCCAGCCTCCAGCGTTGGCTCTGGGGGCAGCTGCAGCTGGTGCTAGGATAGAGGGTTCATTACGCGCTCCTGGCCTTCAGAGGCCGGCCCGGCTCCCAGTCAACTCCGGCAAGGTTAGCAGCCACTTGGGACAGTCTTTAAAGGTGAGATTTTGGAAATGAAAAAGAAAGGAAGGGTCTTCCCTCTCCTATTTCAGCTGAATTTGTGCTGAAGTTAATTTTTATTTGCACAGGTCTAAAAAAATAACTTATGAAGTCACTTAGAACTTACACAAAGTACACAATACATTCAGGGTTATAAATGGGAAGAAAATGAGGGCTGCTCACTTCTTCCCAGGATTATTCAAGACACTGTATTTAAAACATGCTCTGTTTGGAGATTTCAGTTGCTTTAATTACATTTTAGTACATTCACCTAGAAAAAAAGGGGAAATGACCTTTGTCTTTCACGGTTCTTCAGCAAATGAAAAAATTAAACTTATGACCCAGGGTCTGCCTTTGAAAATCGTCCTGGTTATCTGCCCATGTCGAGCAGCATCAAATATTCATTACTAACCACCTATGAGACTTTGCATTGGAAGCTGTTACGGATCACAGATGATTAAAAAATAAAGCCACCAAGGGGCCAGCACCCTGCAAAAGAGCAGCGCTCCCACTTACTTGAACATCTCGCTTCTCTCTATGGTGGCGAGCCAAAAGCTGTAAGCGTTTGCGTAGTAATTACAGGTCCCACGGCCGTGACACTCGATGAATGGCGCACTTCTAAACTCCTCCAGACAGGAGCCAGGGGATGCCAGGGCCTGGCCAGAGCCTTCTGCACCTGCGCTGGTGTGCTGCGGAACAGATGCCAGCCATGAGTCAGACATTCTCTCCCCAAACACCCAGAGAGAGATCGATCCTTCCCAGGAAGGCGCCAGGGTGTTCCCTCTGGAAAGCCACATACTGTAGCCTCGTGTGATCACCACAGGACACACTGTGCCCAAATGCTCACGCTGGCCAGCAAGTCTGTCCCTACATGGCTGGGGCCCCGTAGCGCTCAACAGGGCACCAGAGATCGTCCAACAGCTGCTCCCCAAATAGGTGACCAGCCCAGCTTTATTAGAGTTTAAATGTGCTCGCTGTGTATTAGTTTTGAAACACTCCAACCCATTCTAACGTGGAGCACGAGGCAATAGCCAAAATGTGCAAATAATGCTGTAACCAACTGCTGTGGAATCAGACTTCATAAAGGCATTCCTGCATTTGCTGTATTAGATGCTGTTTGTCTTGTAATAAGGTAAACAATAATCATCAATATTTTTTCTTTAAAAAGAAAAAGCGAAAACAGCTACTATTGTAACTGCATCAAATTGCATTTTGGTCTCTCAGGTTCAAGTAGGACCTACCTGGACCCAGAAACCAAGACCTTAAAATGAACGACATACAACCTTGACTAAGACATTACAATGGATCCCCGTGACTATTATTTCAGATATGAGAAATGGGAACTCAAGAATTTTGGAGACAAAAGGGACTCTTGAGGACAAGACTAAGACCACTGATTCCCAGAGGAGGACATTCTGAGATCTGACCAGGATCATACAGCTTCAAGGTGGAGCAGAGGCAAGGACAGGGGCCTCCAGACCTCCAGACCAGAGCCATCATCCTGAGAACTCAGAGGAGGTGCTGGAAGACACTGTTCATAGAACCTCCTTATTGTTGTTTGCTCCTGATGTAGAGAAATTATGGGCAATCACTGTTTCAGGTCTGTGTGGCACCTGGACAAGGGTTGGTGGTAGCAATGGCTTTCCTGTGGCTCCTCAGTACAACTGTGGGCTTTCTCTGACATACACAGAGTCCACTCAGAATTTCTCATGATTATGGAGTGACAAACCCAATCTCCCTTTTAATGGAAATGGCATGCTTATATCATTGTTAGTGTCCTGATTTCTCTATAAAGCGTTTTCAACCTTTTTGGCTCTCTCGATAAAGTAGCCACAATGCAGCACTTGGAATTATGGGAACAGCCTGTTAGTCTGGTGATGGCGCTGCAGCAGGAAGAGTCTAACTGCAGCACAATCAACCCCGCCAATCACACAATCAAATTGTATCCATGCACAAACACTTTAAAAACTGCTTTCCTGCCAACTTTTTCTACACTTGGAAAAAATGTGTAGAAAAGCAGAAGAAAAGTCCAGTAGAAGGGAAATCGCCATGATGCCCCATTGTGATGGCAGGTGCCTCGCACACAGCAGAGACCCTCACACGGCTGGGCACATGGCAGGCTCTGCGCCATCCATGGGTGACCCTGTTATCTGCACTCAGTGTCCTCACTCAAACGTTTAAAAAATGGGTTTCCTGTTTTTTCTACAATTGGAATAATTTACAGAAGAAAATAGCTATGAATCCCTGTTCCCTGTCAATCAGATAATAAATAACGTTCATCTGCGGGTCAAATGTACAACTTACCCATGCCTGACAGTGTGAAGATGGAACTAGGACGTCCAATGAGAATGCAGATGTGTGTGCAGGGTGTTTACTGGGAATTGGCAAATTCCAGGAGGACCCTGATCTTACCACCTCAGGACTTGTATATATTTAATCAATACTGTCAACTGAGGTGACAGAATAAAATAAGCTACAATGAACATATCAGTCAGGGCCTTCTTTTCTGTTTCAGTTGGCTTTTGTGGGGAAGGGAAGCCCTGGGGATAGGAGAGCAGTCCTTGCCCCGTGGGAAGCGTCTCAGGCGGCACCAGCCCAAGAGGGCCACAGCCAGTCCTCGGGTGTTCTCTCCCTAACTCAAGCTTTTGCTTTCAAGCTCGTGCATGTTGTAGCAGAATGTGTACTCCCCACATGCAGGCTCTCTTCCTCCTTTCCATGAAAGAGGCCTCCACTCCACGTAGAGAAGCTGCTCATATAGAGAACTGGTCACATGGAGAAGCTGCTCATAGAGAGAAGCTGGTCAGAGAGAGAGGCTGGTCAGGTAGAGAAACACATGCAGAAGCTGGTCATATAGAGAAACTAGTCTGATAATATGGAGAAGCTGGTCATATAGAGAAGCTGCTCAAATGGAGAGGCTGCTGACATAGAGAAGCTGGTCATATGGAGAAGCTGGTTGCTTAGAGAAGCTGTTCACATTGCCAGAGCTGAAACAGAGCTGCAGAGCACCTGAGCGGAGCACCCCTGGGCCTGCATGTCCAGGAAGATGCTCGTCCCACCCTTGGCCGTGAGCAGAGGAGGGTTCTGGCTGGTGCCAGAGACCCCTCCTGTCGCCAGGCAGAGCAGGCCAGGCTTCTGGACATGCTTTAGAAGGGGACGGTCAGAGGAGGAAGGAGGGGCTTTAGCAGCGAGATGCAGACAACTCCGAGGCGTGGAGGCATCAGACAGAGGCAGCTGTGGGGCGTGAGTGGGGCTCCTCCAGAGAAACACGGCATCTCCCCAGACACTTACCATCACAAAAGAGTAGCCGATCCACAGCGAGGACCACCCGCTGGGGCACGGAGGGATCTGAATGGTCTGACTGTGCACGGCCATCACCATGGCGGGCGCCTCACACACAGCACACCTGGAAGTGGAGCAGAGACACTCAGCACCGTGGGAGCGCGGGGCAGAGGCCGCCCTCCATGCACGACAGTCGTTACCTACAATCAGCGTCCTCACCCGGTCTTTCCGCTCCAACTACACAGGAAGTCGAAAACCTCGTGCCCATTGCTTAGACTCTGAGGTTTAACCTCCGCATTGGTTTTATAAGCCCGTCTCAGGATTAAAACATTCAATTCAAAAATAGGGCAGGACTCAGGACTGCAGTCCCGGCTACTCGGGAGGCTGAGGCAGGAGGACTGCCTGAGGCCAGGGGTCCGAGGCTGCAGGGAGCTATGCTCAGCCTGCCTGTGTAACACTGCTCTCCAGCCTGGGCAACATAGCGAGACCTGCTTCTAAAAAATTGTTTAAAAAATAGATCCAACATGCGTTATTTAACCATCTGTCTTGTAGAAGGGAAAAATATGAAGGCCAAGCTCTAACAGTGGCTCTCCTGGAGGGGCTGGGGTTACAGGCGACTTTTCTTCTTTGTGCGTTTGAGTCTTTTCTAATCTTTTCGACAATGAGTGTGTATTTCCACAAGCATAATGAATGCTTCAGAAAAAAGGCTGGTGAAATCCAAGAGCTACTCCTTCTGGAATGCAACAGTTTGATGCCATGAATAATCTTTAGTATAAGAAATGCACTTAGTGAGTTGAGGAAGACAAATAATCCATGCCTTAATGAACTTGAGACAAGAATGTCCACATGGGCCTCTTGAGGGAAACTTATTTTCGGGTCTGCCCCCTTGGCTCAGGGGCTCAAGGTCCGAGGCCGTCAGCATCCACTGCAGCTGAAGTGACCCCCAGAGGACCCACCCAAGGTCAGGATGCCTCCCAAGCCAGGCTGGCTCAGCTCAGCCTTGGGACTGCACCAGAAATAAATTAAAGCAGCACAGTGTCCTGACTAAGACCCTCTCAATGATGGGAACCCTTGATGGTTGGGATAATGCTTTGTTTAAAAAAATAATTAAACACCAACAGTGAATAATTACATTTGAGTCACAAAATGAACAGAGTGTTAACAATGCTGATAAATGACTATAAATGGTGTTAATAATTACACCTAGTTACACTGGGACATTTGCATGAAAGTGGATCAGAAGGGGGAGTCGGACTGAATGAGTCATTTGATTTCCCATGGACGTGTGTGTGTGTATGTGTGTGTGTGTGTGTGTGTGGTGTGCAATTTTCTATTTTATTCACCCAAATGCAGACAAATTAAAAGGTTCAGTTAAACAACAGTGACTGAAATTGGCCTTATACATCTGCCGCCATCTGTTTGCTAGACAGGAGACCTAGAAATACAGCCTGGAGGGAAGAGCTTTGTCTCTGGGCTGATGGATTCAAGGGGCTATAGAGAGGGTGGTCTTGCCCCACTGCAGGCATAAGGAGCTGTATGGTTCCTGAAAATTCACATGGCCAAACTCTCCATATTGCATATGAAGAAACTAGCCAGGGTTAGCTGTGTCCAAGACAGAATTAAAACACGGCTCGCCTTGCTCGCAATCCAGAGTCTTTTTGTCAGAGCAATTAGCAATCAGTAGTTACCTCGTGAGTCTTGTCTGCAGAGAGCGAGAAAGTACTTAGAATATTGTGTCCTACTATCAGGATGAAAGCAGTAAAATTGCCACCTTTTCTGCTTGAAATGAAGGATTTTATGATATTTGCTATTTCTAAAATTAAGCTTTAGGGTCTCTCAAAAGAGAAGTCCTGGGAAGGAACCTGTAAGTTCTGAGAACTGGGAAACCACTAAGTTAAGTAACCACGGAAACCTGCCTGCTCAGAGTCAGGGAGGAAGGGGCAGCTGCTCTACAAGAGGGAGGCAGAGGAAGAGCTGATGCAAGGGCAGCACCTTCAAGGCTGCGCCTGGGAAGGTCTCTTTAGCTGAGCTTCAATGTGTCAACTAACAAAGATGTAAAGATCTGGAAATGTAAAGTTCTGGGACATTTCAGGACTTTCTGGTCCAATTACATATTAAGTGGAAAATGTTATGCCTATTGCTTAGACTCTGAGGTGTAGCCCATCTCCAATGGTTTTGTAAGTCTGTCTCAGGATTAAAACAGTCAGAAATCTTAGACTCTTGTTGGTGCCCACAGACCAGGGGTATGTTACTAAAAGCAACCAGAGAGAGAGTGCGTCACAGAGAAATGCTGGTCTCAGACACACAGCTTCACTAGACCTGTTTCTGGAACACCACCAACGCCTGCTAGAGCTCCTGTGTCTTCGAATGAATCAAGGTCAAATGTCAAGAATGTCAAGAAGGGAAATAGGAGACATAGAAATGAATGGTCATTTTCTACCTGTTGTGTAACGGAAGCGAAAAAAAGAAACCACAGAAGTTGTCACTTTTCCCTCTAGTTCGCAGGCAGGGTTCCAAGCAAGAAAAGTCTCACAACAGTCACTACTTGGCAGCCACGGGCACAGATGAAGTATTGCCTGTGTTCTGAAAAGTGTCATTCTGGAGGTGTAATGAATGATATTCTCCATTTTAAGACCTATAAGATAAGTTTTCTTATAGCTCAAAAAAATCAAAGAAAACTGTCGGTAGAGATTTTCATGTAAGGGGATCAAAGAGCTAAGATTTTCCCACATAGAAGGTGCCTTCCAGCCCTTCTGATCCACGGTCCCACATGGCACAGATCTTTCACTAAATTGTGATCTGCCAGGACCTGCCTGGTACACAACTCCGGTCATCCTCCCAACAGAGCATGTTCATCTAGTGATAGGAGCCGGGCGAGAGGCACAGGCCATGGCAGCGGTCAGCAGGGTTTCCAGGAGTCACTCCAAGCACTAGCTTCCCTATTCCCTTTTCTCTTGAAAAGCGCTCAGCTAGGGCACTTCTTAGCTGCTACGACTACATCTTTCTTCATATTCAAAGACTGCTGGTTTCTTTGAAGGGAGCATAAAAAACTTTTTATCCTTTTTATCATTTATTATCTTAATATGTAAAAAGTAAAATTACAGAATAGCTTCTCAGTCAAATGAATTTGTTCACTGGTCACTTTACTACTATTTTGAGTATTCCTAAGCAATAAACATTTTTTTCTTTTGAGATAGTTTCGCTCTTGTTGCCCAGGCTGGAGTGCAGTGGTTCTGGAGACGGATGCTTGTGATGGTTAAACAACGATGGGAATATAGTTAAGGCCATGGAACTGTACACTTTAAAATGATTACGATGGTAAATTTTATGTTATGTGTCTTTTACCAAAATTAAAAATAATTTTTAAAAAATTCATAAGGGCAGGAATGATTCCCAAAACATTGTCTTAAAAGGCTCCTTGAGGAAGTTACTATTTTTTAAAAAGGAAAGATTGAGAAACACTGTTCTAAGACTTGCTGATGAATCAAGTGACATCACTTTGCTCATAGGAAGAAAGGTAACCACCACAGTGAGTCAGGGGCAAGCTCAGCATGATCTCACCATGGTTCTGCAGCATAATTTTAGAAGAGAATAACTGACTTTTTTCTTTCTTTTTGAGACAGGGTCTCATTCTGTTGCTCAGGCTTGAGTGCAGTGGCATGATCTCGGCTCACTTCAGCCTCAACATCCCAAGCTTAAGTGATCCTCCCACCTCAGCCTCCCTTGTAGCTGGAACCACAGGCTTGCACCAACACATCCAGCTAATTTTTGTATTTTTTGTAGAGGTGAAGTCTTGTCATGTTACCCAAGCTAGTCTTGAACTCCTGGACTCAAACAATCCTCCTGCCTCAGCCTCCCAAAGTACTGGAATTACAGACATGAGCCACTGTGCCCAGCCAATGAACTTTTACTTTTCCATTTTTATGGCTGACTTCTATTACAAAACTTGGATATCACAAATAATAAACTAAATGGAAATGTATTGAATGTTTTGGAGAAAAATGGAAAAAATGTGCTTGCCCAGCCGAGAGACTTTTCTTCTTCAATTATGCATTTGTCCTTATACATGCTCGACTCACCTACTAATAAACGGTCTTATGTTGTCCCCCGTGATGGGTGCCATTGACATGGGCATGGGCTCAGGAGTGGACAGCCAGTACGAGTAGTCGTTCCGTGACGCGAAGTTGCACACGTTGTTGATGTTGCAGAACAGGAAGGGCATGGTGCTGAACTTGCGCAGACAGCTGCCGGCCGTGCCTAGACAAGGGAGAAGACCAGGTCAGGTGTCTTCTTCGTAATTCACAACCCATCTCTACGTAAAGTGGATTTCAGCGGGACAACAAGCAAAAACGTATTGTCAACATGATCACTGAAATGGAAATGTATAAAGAATTACCTAGGACATTTTTGATGAAAGGAAGCAAAACCAGTTAACCAGCACAAAGGAACCTTTTCCTAAAACAGAATTCTAGAGGGAACTTAACTATGCAATGGACAGTAACAAACTGGGCGATGTCTTTAACAAGAGACTTGCAGAAAATGCAGAGATAGCAGCTTGCTGATTCTAACCTTGATAAACATTAAAGGTACAGAAAATTAAAACAGTTTGGTGGAGGATATCTGGGGCAGACGAAGATAATGAGGACAGATCTGTGGCTTCCTGATGATATAAACGAGAGGAGCAGAGCTCAGCATCTGTGGAGAATTTCCGACAGAATAATGTAGACTTTTTTTTAACAAAGAGCAATTGTTAAGCGGCATCAATGCAAACTGCTAAGTGCACTCCAGGAATCCTGATCCTACTTGATAATCTGAAGATGAGATCTACAGTTTTATTAAAGATTTTCGAACGTTCCGCCTTTATATTTCTTGGCCATTAGTAATACAGCAGCTGTTGAATTGATATTTGTAATCGGAGGCAAATGGGGCCAGGCTGCTTTTTCACTCACGGCTGCCTAACCACAGCAGCAGAGGCGAGTCCAGCCCTGTGCACGAAGGCACTCAACACACCGACACTGAATGAATGCACGGATCTGCAGACGTCTTACCCAAGTCCTGGCCATGGGCCCGTTCATTGCCTTGCACGTAGAGCAGAGAGTACCCATGGTAAAGAATTTTGGTCCCTGAAGGACACTGTGGGTCATCTATTGTTTGACTGTGTCTGGTCACAAGGAAGCCGTGATCAACAGATGGGGTGCCTGGGGGCCCCATGGATCCTGGCAACCCGTCGGGGCCTGGTGGACCTGGAAATCCTCTTGGACCTGGAAGAGAGAAGACGAATTAGTTTCTCTAATTGCAAACACGTTCCCCTGAAAGCTTTCAAACTCATTTTCTCCAAAGAGATTTTAATATATTTCCACAAAGCATCCTACCTATTCATGTTATCAAAAAGTCTAAAACAAAAATAGACGTGTGGCTAATACAACCGCCAGTCTCCTTCATGGTGTCCTAACTTTTTCTTCTCACATAGCACCTCAAGATATTTTTATAAGCACAGTGTTGGTGCGGAGCAGAGGCTTGACCAATTTAGTTCAATGAATATATGACACATATGAAAATGAAAAGAAATGAATGACATGCTCTGTGCATGTCATTCACACAGAATTGTGGGGTTCCTCTCGGGGAGGATTATGATGGAATTATTAAACAACTTCATCTTAGAGCGTTTTCTCTTCCATAGCAGCCCAAAGCCTACGTATGGAAATGGAGCAGGCAAGGACTGCTTCTGTCCCCTGTCTAACTGTGCCATGTGCAAAACTGCACGCAGGTCTGCTGGGCTGAGCTCTTTGTTCAGTAAGTCAGTGGCCTCAGCCTTTTGGCCTTATGGGACACTCAAGTGTCCCTTCTCCTAAGGAAGCAAATCAAGTTTATCTCATGTCTTTGGGCCAATGCTGGCATTATTTTCATATTTTCATTTCTACTTTCCCTTGTTCTTTGCTGAAATAGAATTTTCATAGCTGCAGCTCACATCCCACTTAAGAAACCACACGGGCCACCACGATTGGCTGCCTTTCAACAACATCTGGGAAATGTACACTTTGATAACTATCTGTCTCTACACAGAAAAAAGACACTCCTTCAGCTCTTCTCTTTGAGCGTTTTCCTTCTAAGAAACAGACTCCCTCGGAAATCTTTCAAGGAACACTTGCAGCTACATTCGGCTGCTCCCCCCGTGCCTGGGTCTGCTGCTTCTATCCCAGATCCTGGTAGACGGTAATTAGGCTGGAAGTCTCACAACCTACCAGTCGGCCCGGCAGGTCCCATCTCTCCTTTCTGGCCAGGGGCACCGTCAAACCCAGGAATACCGGGAGGTCCAGGTATTCCCGCCAGTCCTGTCACACCTGAGGTAGAGGAAAAAGAATTCATGATCCTGTACAGCAGTAAGCTCTATCTCTTTCTTCCCTTCTTAGGTGTCATTTTCAGTGTTCCAGGAGGCAAGCATGCAGTCTCAGTGCAGGTGAAAACGTTTTCTTGGACAGCCAGGAGTTGCTTCCCACAAAGTCAAGTGCAGACTTTGCAGAAGCGGCCGGATATTCATATGGGGGTGTGTTTGGGCACCTCCTTCTGAGTTCTCCCTGATTGCTCACTCTTTGGCAAATTGGTTTGGAAAAGGCAGGCAGTGTGGAGGGAATGAGAGACTGGATAAACATTTCCCTCTCAGCCATATTCTGGGGTCTCCATTTTTAGGCAGCAGATATACTGACATGGATAGTTTTTTGCTTTCATGTACATAACTTTTTTTTTCTTTCTTTCCTTTTTCTTTCTTTCCTCTTTCCCTCCCTCCCCTTCCTTCCTCCCTCCCTCCCCCCTTTCTCTTTCTCTCTTTCTTTCTTTCTTAGATCTCACTCTGTCACTCAGGCTGGCTCACTGCAGCCTCAACCTCCCAGGCTCAAGCAATCCTCCCACCTCAGCCTCCTGGGTAGCTGGGATCACAGGCATGTACCACCACGCCTGGCTAATTTTTTTTTTTAATTATTATTTTGTAGAGACAGACTCTCCCTATGTTGCCCAGGCTGATCTTGAACTCCTGGGCTCAAGCGATTCTCCTAACTCAGCCTCCTAAAATGCTGCCATTACACAGGTGTGAGCCACTGAGCCTGATAAGCTTATGCTTAAGCATCTTTAAATTTTCACTGATGCTACTTTTCAACTTCAAATGTTTTCATTCTCCTTTACTTCTCACCCACTTCTTATCAGTAGCTCTTGAAACAGGAGATGTTTAGTTCAAATAGGCAGAAAGACTAGGTCGGGGTTTCGGGAAACAACAGGGAACAGTACAGACAGGGCCAGTCAGGCAGCACTCCTGCGGGCACGGATGGAGAGCACTGATTTCTACCATTCCAGATCTGTGCCCACCACCCCCATCGGGAGCAGGAGTGGGAGGGAAAAGATAATTATCCGGTTTGGTTCTTTAAGCCCATGTTTTTCTAACTGAACACAGATGTGTTGTTATGTCTTCCTCTAGCTTTTCCTGCATTTTCTTCCGGATTTTTTTAGGTTTCTTTGAAAATGTCATGGGTTTTGATATGCATTGAAGGGAGGTAAGAAAGTCACATTCATATGTGTGTCTAATCATTACCCAGAAACTTGTCTTAGACACATGGGTGAGGAGGAACTCTGCCCATCGCCCCTCTGGGTGCCCCACACCACCGTGCAGAAGCCGAGCCTTCTCACCTTGCTGGCCTTTCGGGCCTGGGGGTCCCTGAAGTCCTTTCAGCCCTGGGGGGCCCTCCGGACCAGGGAGTCCGGGCTCCCCTTTGATAATGTCATAAGGACCTGGGGGGCCAGGAGGACCCGGCAGACCTGTGGAAATAGGGAAGCCATTGATCGGTTTCACTGTCCACCTAGGGCGGAATCAGCTTCACAAGGAGAGTCCCAGGTGAAGCTATCCAAACAGAACATACTCCCAAAGGTAAAACCATTCTCAAAACCTGAGGAATCCAGTCTTCACAAAACATGTCCCATCTGAACATCTTTCTTTATTACTTAACCTGAAATCCTGAACTCCCGGGACTGGCAAAGGCATTGGGGCATCAGCGTTACTTCCCACTTCGTTCTGGGCTCTCTGACCCCTTACAACCATCCCCGCAGCCTCGTGCCAGCCCTCCCGGTGGGGAGAGAAGCTTGTTCTTCCCAGGTGTCCCCGCTTCTGATGTGTTGAGTGCCACTCTGCGATTAGGATGCTTTTCCCACACTCCTCTGAAACCTGCCCTACTGCAGAGGATCACACTGGGCCTGATCCTTGAGTGATGAATGAACTTAATCCTTCTTCTGCATGACAGGTCTTGGCATGTGGTAAGAACCACACAAAGTGTGAGGTCCCCTCAGCCTCCCTGTCTTCAGCCCAGCACCCTCAACTCTCCCTCCCCTTCCACACACCCTCCTCTCCTCTCCTTCCTGGCTCTCCACTTTCTCAGGGCACGTGTCTTCTCATTCTCTCTCCCAAAACATGGTTTTGAAAATTAAACGATGCCCTAGAAATATGGTCTGCTCTACAGTGAGGAAACAGGATGAATACTGTGCTTAGACTGTTCCCTTGCGAGATGACGTCATGGTCTGCAGAGCCCTTCACACTGTGGGCTCCCACTGGTAAAGAAACTGTTCCCTTGTGAGATGACGTCGTGGTTTGCAGAGCCCTTCACGCTGTGCGCTCCCACTGGTGGAGAAGCCATTCCCTTGTGAGAGGATGTCATGGTCTGCAGAGCCTTCACGCTGTGGGTTCCCACTGGTAGAGAAGCCAGCAGCACCATTCCCAGAAGAACCCTTTACTGTGCAGCAGGAATGCACTCCATCTCTAAGTGCAAGATTGATTTTCTTTCCTATTATAACTTTCAGTGGTTGATTTCAGGCTAACTTTAGAGCCTTTGGGGAGTTTTTGAATTCTGAGCTTGTCAGTGAGAACCTCAGGCACCCCTCCCCTGGAGTCTCCCTCAGTCCTGGATTTATCAGATTCTACTTCCAGGTAAGTGGATGTTAAAATGCCAACTTGCTGCAAAGAATTCTCAATCAACTGTTTTCCAATGATTTTCAAGTCACTTTACATATGAAAAACCAAACACCCCAATTCTGTTCATTCATGGCTTTTACATTTTCACAAAGCACCAGTAAGGTAGCCACACATTAACAAACTCTCCTACCTTTAGCTCCTGGGACACCCTGGTCTCCTTGATCACCTTTAATTCCCTGGAGGCCAGGAAGCCCTTTTGCACCTAAGCAGAGGAAAAACATCATCTTTGCACAGAATTCTCAATGATATACAAATACGTGTGTGTGTATACCTCTCTAGTGCACATACACACATGTACACAAAGGCATAGATAAATGCATATACAAACACATATACTCATGCATACCCATATATATACATTCACACACCTGCTTATGCAGGCACACATATACACACACATATGCATACATATATGCATATATACACGTCATACACATACACAGATAGTGAACACATTTCCAATTTGTCCTCAAGGAAGAAAACAGCATTCTTTGTCACTTGAGTAAAACTTTTGATGAAACTCTTTTTTCTAGAACCCAGAAGCCACATTTTTATAAGCAGGCAACAAATGGTAAAATAATCCAACCAGCAGAGGGGCAGAGGACACTGTTTTGGTCACAATCTGATTCATGCATGTCCCCAACTGGACTACAAGACATCCTGAGGCTGAGGCCTGTTTTATTCGCCTTTCATGCGTATCTGACTCAGCAGTAAAGGCTGCAGTGCCTGGGAGCTGGTACGGACCCCAAAAATGTTTGTTTAATACACAAATAAATTAATGAATAGCCCAAATCCACGACTTCTTATTGAGATGTTAATGATCCACTGATTCATAAGGAGAAAATCAGAATGTCTTTGTGCAGGCATTCATAAGAGTATACAAATTGGGCTGCCACACAGAAACGCGGTTTTTAATTTGAAGAGAACAGTGTATCTCGTGGCTGCAATGGCGCTGGTGCCATCAGCGTTAAAGTGCCGAAGACTAGGAAGCTCCCGTGGCCATGGTGCTGCGGCAAGGCCTGTACTGTCTTACCTTGAAAGCCTTGAATGCCTGGAGGTCCCATATCGCCCTTAGAACCTGTGATTCCTGGAGAGCCACCGATACCCTAGACACACAAAGAAGAGGTTGGGACTTGCTCAGGACACGTAGGTTGAGTCTCGTAACCTGCTACTTGGAAAACTGAAACAGCCCTCCACGTTTTGCAAAGCACGTTTGTGTACAAATGGTGCCTTGTGGTTTCCTACATGATAGAATACCAAAGCCTCCACCAGGAAGCTGCGAAGCAGAAGCACTTGCGTCCCTCCCACGTGGCCCCTCTGCTTGTCCATCGCGGGGGGCGTTCCTGAGGAGCAGGCGAACGTCTGGCCCTGGCCACCTCCAGCCCACAGCACGATGCCACAGACAGAGCCAGGATGCCCTCAACACCCGTGACGGCAGCATAGGCAGACAGCACCACCCAGCCATCTGTTTTGAAAACTTTCCCCCAACCAACAAGCGCAGTCATTTTTCTTTAGAATTAGCTTCATGCCTTATCTGAAAACTGATTTTAAATATGGAAAGAATTTTAAAATGCTAAAGAAGGAGTATTTTCCTTTATAATGTGGCAATATTTGTGTATTTTAAAATACGGGCTCAATTTCCTTCCAGGTCAGTGCAGTCGCTCCTTCCCCTAGTGGAGGGCAGCAGCACGCAACGAGCTGTCTTATTTCTCATGTACATTTGTTTCTTAGCCTGATTTCAAAAGTGTCGAACCAAAATAACATGAACAAATATATATGCATATAAACACATATAAAAACACACATTTATACACATGTATCTATAAAGAGACAGGCAGGGAAACACTGACTGGCAGCAGAAATGGGGTATATCTCCTTTCTTTTTCTTTTTTCCTTGTTTTTTTTTTTTTTTTTTTTTTTTTGAGACAGAGTCTCGCTCTGTCACCCAGGCTGGCGTGCAATGGTACCATCTCGGCTCACTGCAATCTCTGACTCCTGGGTTCAAGCAATTCTCCTGCCTCAGCCTTCCAAGTGGCTGGAATTACAGGCATGCACCACCATGCTAATATTTGTATTTTTAGTAGAGACAGAGTTTGGCCATGTTGGCCAGACTGGTCTCAAACTCCTAACCTCAGGTGATCCTCCCACTTTGGCCTCCCATAGTGCTAGGGTTACAAGCATGAGCCACCAGGCCTGGCCGGGAATGGGGTATATTTCTATGTTACTGAGGAATAAACATGGGAATACATGAATACTTGACAAATTATCTACACTTCCATTCCTGGAAAACTGCAATATAGCAATAGAAACCCCAAAATACATTCGCATACACATTCACTGTACTGTGGAAATACACACACAGCTTTGAGGACAGGGAGTGGGTAGACATGCCTATTGCACTCCTTAGAGCCAGTTCTGTGCCGTTATTCACAAGCACTTTGTAACTTCCTGATTCTGAAGTAAATCGGTACCACGTACTGTGCACCTAGCAAGCTCAGTTACTCTGTGTCATCCTTGGGAAGGTAGTCTGATGACTCTAAGCCAAGTCCCTACTGCTGAGGAGCAGCCCCCACTCTCCCTCTAAGGGAGAACACGTGACGAACAGAAGACTCCTGCTAGCTCTGAATCACTGCAGAGGTCTGTCTCAAATCCCTCCTGCTCCCAATCTCCCCTGACACACTCCCCTTCTCCTAATGTATGTTAGAGAGAGAGAGGCAGACAGACAGACGGAGACAGGGAGGGGAAACAAAGACGCAGACACAGAGAATAAAAAGCTTTGCTAACCCAGCTCTCTGAATAAGCAAGCCACGTAAACACAGTCGTTTAGCCATGGATATGGTTAAGCTGAAAATCCAATCAAAAATCTATGACCACCACTAGGAAGGGCTATATATTCAGGTACAGCAAAGGACCAAAGTTAAATTACACACATGCATGCACGCACACACACGTGCACATGTGCACACACACGCGGCTGCTGGTCACCCATTGCACCCTGAGATGCGCTCCTCCGAAGGCTTGACTAAGTCACCGCTGAGACTCTGTGTCTGGATAAGGTCAGTAAAGTGAGCTGGGATGTCGCTGGCTATGGCTGGTTATCATCTTCCAAGACCTGAACTGTTCCAACTGCAATTCCCAGTCCTCCTGCCAATCCTAAGAGATGGCTGGGCTCGTTTTACAGAATTGTTCTTTGCAAAACAACACTGGCTTGCTTTTTACGTTGAGTTTGCAAATAGGTATTAGACGTAGGCATTGAGCCATAATTTCCAGCAGTATAACATTTTCCTCTTAATGGTTCTTGGAAAACTGGATGGTAAAACATGTTACAATAGTTTCCTACTCTGATGCCAATAAAAATGTGGGTTACTGGCAAGAAAGAAAGAACTGATTTAGAGGGGACGTGGGAGTATAACACACACACATACATACACATACACACAATACGCACACACATAGACACATATGAATACTTGTGGTCAGAAAAGTCTCCTTTAAAAAAGTAATCTATAAATCAGTAACTCACAGGCATGCCCTGGAATCCAGGGTCTCCCTTAGGCCCTGGGACACCGGGTGCTCCTGGCCAGCCTGGGTGTCCTTTGTCACCTTTTATTCCATCAATCCCAGGAAGCCCTGGAGGCCCCATGGGTCCCGGAAGTCCTAATGGAAGAGAAGAAAGCCACACATTTGGGGTTAGATATGCACAAGGGTCCCTGGGCTGTGATGCTCTCAATACTGCCACCCACAGCCCCTCACTGATACAACACTGGACCAACAGTGGGAACCCTTGAGACAGAAATCGAGGCAGGTCCAGGAAGGAAGGAAGGAAGGAAGGAAATAGTAACGCTGCTGTCTCTGTGTCTGAAATGGCCAATGGTCTAGTGGTGCCTGGGCATCTGTGCCACCCCATAGCGGTCTTGTTCAGAACCCAAAAGTGTACCCAAGAGTTGTGCTGGTTTAAGTCAAACGCCACCGATTGGACAAGGGTCCAGGCTTGTCCAATCATTTCCTTTCTTGCATCTTGCTAATAATGTAAATTCCCTGACAGAAACGATACAAGCAAAGCTTTGACTCAATGGAGATCAAACACACTTTTAAGCTTTAATAAATGCTGCCGACTTGTAAATAAAAATGTTCAATTGAGAATGTAACTGTTTCTTTTACACTATTTCCTTTTGTGAATTCTGTCCCTCTCCCCAGCGGGCCCCTGGTGAGACGCCCTTACCTGGCAGGCCAGGCTGGCCCTGAGGTCCACGGTCTCCTTTGGGCCCCTCCATGGCGTGGCCTGGGGATCCTGGTAACCCTGGCTGTCCCTGGGGCCCCGGAGGACCCATGAATCCTTGCTCTCCTTTGGCTCCAGGAATTCCTGGGCTCCCAGCTAATCCTGGGAAACCCACCTCACCCTTTGAACCTAAACAAGAAAAACAGTTTGAGGTGATGGGAGACGCAGCAGCAGAGCAGTAATCTCCATGCGGGGGCGGCAGGGCTGGGTGAGGCGCGCCTCAGCCTGCAGGTGACCCTCAGAGGGGGCTTCGAGGGCCACCAGGGAGAGCGGCGCCAAGTGTCTGATCCTTCCTTCTCTTTACTAACACACTAGAATCCGACCGTGGCCTGGCTGCAGAGAGCTGGGACCCCAGCTACCATGTTTACACTTTTTTTTTTTTTTTTTTTTTTTTTTTGAGGCAGAGTTTCACTCTTGTTACCCAGGCTGGTGTGCAATGGCGCAATCTCGGCTCACCGCAACCTCCGCCTCCTGGGTTTAGGCAATTCTCCTGCCTCAGCCTCCTGAGTAGCTGGGATTACAGGCACGAGCCACCATGCCCAGCTAATTTTTTTGTATTTTTAGTAGAGACGGGGTTTCACCATGTTGACCAGGATGGTCTCGATCTCTGGACCTCATGATCCACCTGCCTCGGCCTCCCAAAGTGCTGGGATTACAGGCTTGAGCCACCGCGCCCGGCCTACAAAAGATGTGTCGTGTGGCAGAGGCATCTGAATTGTGCTGAGCAACACCTGCGACAACCACACTGCTGAATGACAGCGTCGCTCTATCCGCAGATGAATGGATGCGCCAACTATGTTCTGTCCACACAGCGGGACCCTCGCAGCCAGAGAGAGAAGTGAGCAGCCCCGGGGCTGGATCTCAAACTCACTATGTCGTGGGAGAGAAGTCGGACTAAAGAGTGCACAGTGTATGGTTTCATCTTCATAAACTGCTAGAAAACGCAAACTCGAACTAACTAGAGGACCAGAAGGTAGCTGGACAGTTGCTTGGGGTCTGGGGAGGGGCCCGGACGGAGGGATTATGAAGCTGCAGAGGAGACTTTGGGGGAAGGCTGTGCTTGCTATCTGGAACATGGGGATGGATGTTTTCATGGGTGTAGACCTATGTCAGCCTTATCAAGTTGTACACCTTAATATTTGTAGTTTATTACCTGTTAATGAAACCCCAATGAGCAGGTTTAAAAAATTAAAAAGTAACAGCTTGTAGGGAAAAAAATTCCACGTTTAGTTTTAAACATATTATCCAAATCTAACCAATAAAAATGCCAAAATTCTATGGTTACTTCAAGAACAAAGGAAAAGGAATGAAATAGGGTCAAGACCTAAAGTGGTCACATGGGATTCTCTTCTCCTGGGGATTCTTCCTGATATTTCACACGGCAATGTGAAAACACCAGGCACTGTGTTGAGTTTGTGCAAGGGCAGTGCAGTGTGTCCACGGAGCGTGCAGGATCGCACAGCGAGGTAGGAAAGGCAGGGCGGGAACAGCCCGCAGCGACCCCTGAGCAGGTGCATTTGCAAGGGGCTCTGCGTTTGAGGGAGCCTGTGAGTTCAGAGACGGGGAAGTGCCCATTCCCAAGGCAGCCCACCCGGCAGCATGCCATCCATCTCAACCCAGGGGTTCCCCGTGCCAGATCACACGTCTGCCAAGGAAACCCGGTGAACGGGTCTCAGGGAGAACCAGGGGCCGGAGGACACAGTGCCTCCGTGCCCCTGCTCCTTCTCAGCTGAAGTCGCAGGCCTTCCAGGGCTTTCAGATTCCTCCCACTGAGTGGAATCACTCAGGCAGCACAGCCACCTGCCATAAGCATGTCCACGGATGCTGTGTGTGAATTCCTGGCTGCGGCCACCAGTGGCTTCTCTTCAGTGTCATGGGACTTGTATTTTCTGTGTCCACATGGCTTCCCCATGAAACGCTCAGCTCTCTGAGAAAGGCGACTGCCTAGCCAAGCTCCTGGCCAGCTCTCAGCTGCACGTGGTACTGAGTACATCATGGCTGCCCAGGGTATGTTTTAGTCTCTTGGTATGTGTTACGTCCTGGCCTGCCTTCATGTAAGTATAACCAGTTGTCAGAATTTCAATATTCTGATGACCTTCTAGGCATAAAAATGACAAGGGTTTCCCTCCTTTGCTGGATTTTTACAAAATTAGTCCAAGTAAAAGATTACTCTGACCATGAGTGGACTGCAAGCCATTTTGACCCATTAATGAGAGGGGAACCACACGTGTCCTGCAGGCATTGCCGCCTGGGCCCAGCACCCATCCTCCATCCAGCTGCTGCCTGGCCACCAGGGACGGGGCTTCATCCTGAAGACGCTGCCCCCGTTCTGCTACATCAGGCAGCAGCGGTTAGTTGAAAAGAAAGAGCATAGAGAACAAAGATTACCTTTGTCTCCTTTGGCCCCTGGAAAGCCTGGGAATCCTCTTCCTGGAAGACCTATTAGATGAGGGTAAAACACAACGTTTCTCTTAAACAATCCATCTGCAGGTCCAACGCAAAGCACTGTCAACTCTGCACTCACACTATGGATATTTGTAGAGCACATGGAAATTAGTTCATTGTACCCTTGTAATAAAATGACATTCCTACAGTTACTATAAGATACCCTTGATTGGATGTTCCTAATTTAGTACTTTTTTCTAAGTACCTTTCCGCTTAGAACCATCATGATGTTTAGCGGAAACGACCTGTGCAAATGAGTATTTGTTTCCTGCTGTCGTCTGGAGACGACCAAATGGGCTTCTCAGACAAATATCCAGCTAATTGCTCTTCTCAGGAAGGAAGCGAGAGCCAAAGAGATTTGGGGCAGCAGATGCTGGGGAGATGACAAATGTCAGCAAAGGGCTTGAGGGATGTTTCAAAAGGTGGAAAAAGAGTGCAGGGCATTTTTAATGAATGGTTTGTATAGAAAAACTGAATGTGTATAATATAAAGTTATAGAATGAAAAAAATAAACTTAAGAAAGAGGCCAGCACCAGTAGCAGTGGAAGCTCTTGGTGGTCCTCCCAGGGTCCCCCCAGCTTAGGCGTAACCTGCTTCAAATGGTGTGTTTACCTCTCTCCTGTATTAAATTTGAATATTACTGTGTATGCGACTGTCATCATCACAGCTTGCACTTTTGCCCAAGTTACGGTCAAGTTATGGTCCAAGTTCTGGCCAAGCTGGGGCCCATCAGAGATAGGAGCAGACTCAGGGGCCAACTAGTATTTCCAGGACAGTTCCTCAAATGGGGAAATGCTGGGCAGAGAAAAGAGTGTCGTTTTGCTATGCTTTCCGTTGCTTTGTCATAGCGATCACAGGGAAGTGGAAGGTGTTCTAACAGCAGGTATTTTACATGTCTCTGACTCACCACTGAGAGCTCAGGTTATTTCAGGTGAAGATGCCTAAGTATTTATGGGATAATAAATCCCCCTTCCTTGCTTCTCCTCTCCACCCATCCTGCTCCACATGTCCACCTTAGTGTTTAAGTAGCTGCAAGGATGTGTAGTCCCGGGGCTACTCTGTACCCAGCTCTGTTCACTGAGCACAGGCAGTCTGCAGGTCTCCGAGAGTGGACACTGCTGATTCTGACAGGGAATGGGGCGCTGGGCCATACCTGGTTCACCCTTCTCTCCTGCTGACCCTGGGATTCCATCACTGCCTGGTTCCCCTTTCTGGCCAGCTGGGCCTGTGGGGCCAGGCGTCCCAGGAAGACCTCAAAGAGAAGAGTCACAACATCAGACACCCGCATAACCTCTCACAGCAGCCTAGATGCCATACCAAATGGTTCCTTGCTGACATCCTTTAAGAGAGCCATTCCCTCCCAAGCACACCTGGCTTTGCTGAGGTCAGTTCTGACTTCCCTTCAGAAAGGACCCTGCATACTTTCAGCAACCCCATCAAACCCTGACCCTCAAAAGCTGGTGACAACAAAGAGGAGGTCCCTGAAACTCCATGTTAGCTACAAAAATGGTCTGGGGATGTGGGTCCCAGATCCTGATGGTGGCAAGACCTCAGAATGACCCTGTAACCTGCACTAGAGTCGGCTTGCCCATCTGAAAATGGGACGCAGGACAGATGGCCTCCCTGTTCCCCATCTGTGATAAACTCCTTGGGGCCTCCCATCCCCTGGCCTCTCTTCTCTATGTGCCTGGGCTGTGTCCCAAAGAGGAGCCTCTACCTGCTTCTCCTTTGACACCGGGGATGCCATCCAATCCTGGGAGGCCTTTGTCACCTTTTTCTCCAGGCAGCCCAGGGCTTCCTAAAGAAAAACACGAAACACCAGAACATCCGTAAGTTTGGACTTTTCTTTGACTTCTTAGATCCCCAAGTCCAAGAGACGACCCCCTCACCTACCTGGATAGCCAACACTTCCAGGAGACCCTTTAAGGCCTGGGGATCCTGGCACTCCTGGGATCCCAATGCTTCCTTTTTCTCCCTTCTCTCCAGGGCTTCCTGGGAAACCCGCTATCCCTTGATCCCCCTGCAAGTACAAGTCAGGCACATCAACTTGACATTTGTCCATGCGCGTGCATCTGTAGGCATGTTCTAGATAATTGTATACATTTTGGTGCAATGAATATTGCATTGCCAAACTTCATTTCCGGATTTCTCACCAAAGAATCAAAGTCCTCTTCTGAAAAGAGAGGAAAAACTTCAGCACAGAGGAGCCAACCATGTGGTTTCCACTTACCGTCCCTCTTCCCCCTTCATCCTCTCTGTTTTATCCCAGTGACAGCTGTCTCCCACCCTAGCCTCTCACCAGTTTCTAGAGTCTTCCTTGGGGGCAAGGTAGTGAATACAAACGGGAGGAGAGGTGGCCTGTGTTTCCTTGCAGGAATCACTCTGTGCTATGGTTCACTGAGTACGCTGAGATGCTAAGGTATTTACTGAGCATTTCTCAGACAGCCTCTCCACGGAGCTGGGAGGAGGGGACCTTTCCATGCCGAGTGCCAGTTACCTTGACACCAGGCAGCCCGGGGATGCCTATGCCAGGTGGGCCTGCCTGCCCTTTCTCTCCTTTTGCACCTTTTTCTCCAGGTAAGCCAGGGGCACCTTGTGGGCCAGGGATGCCAGGCACGCCTTTCTCTCCAGGTGTTCCTATAAACACAAACAATTGAAACTTGATTTGAGCTTAGCTAGTGCTGGGATTACAAATGAAAAAGTGCCTCCACAACCAGCCAAGAGTGAGAAACAAGAGCGCAAATCCCTCATGTATCAATCGGCTCATGGCTGCCCACCCAGGTCAGCCAACTCGATCGCATCAGAGCCATGCTAGGAAATGTCTCTCACGTCCTTGAAGACCATCATGTTATTATGACAGGGAAGAAATAAATTAACTGCCTAGACAATTTCCTTTCTCGACAGTATAAAAATGGATCTTATGTTCGTTATTACACAGCCAGCTCTCATTAGCCAGACGTCACAGGTTCCACGAGGTGGACCAGAGTCCGTGCACACTTGGTTCTGTGACGCATGCTGGTGGCCAGGCTTACTCACACACAGGCATGATCAGCAACCTACATGCTTATACTCAATTAAAGTGATAACAGCACCTGCTAAAGACTTAGGGGGAGATGGAAAGACGGGCTTCCCATCTGAACTCTGCTGCTTTCTGAGTGAGTTCTGAGGACTGTCACCACCCAGCCCTTCCCTCTCTCTCCTCTTCCCGGCTGCTCTCACTGCAGTAGACACTGATGGCAAAGCATGAAGGCCAGTCCAGGATTGGAGCAGAGGAGTCCAGAGAATTCTTCTGACCTAACACAAAGGGCTCTGGAGCCATGAGCTACTCAGGCTGACAAGCCTGGAAGAAGAAGCCGACATCTCCTAGGGAGCGCCGAGCTAAGGGGACGGTCACTTGGAGATCACCAAAAGCTGACTGTATACAGCCCATGCTTTGTTCCATTACATGTTGAGTTTTCTTTGTGATGGCCATACTGTCATCAGACGCTCCCCTTCCTGAGCAGGAGCCCATTCAGAGCTGAGGATGTGAAGGTGTGTGAAAGACGCCACGCCTGGATTCCGTCTTCTCAGCTGAAGAGGGTCTCATTCTGCAGACAGGCCCTACCAGTGTCACAGACACACATGCTAGAGCACCCTCTTCTACATCTGGTTTACCTGGCAAGCCCATGCCACCAACAGATCCTTTTGGTCCTGGAAGTCCCGGAGAGCCTGGGATTCCACTTATGCCTGGATCACCTTTAGGTCCTAGAACAGCAAAGAAAGCAATCTGAGAGGCTGACATCGACAGAAAGAGCTGAGGAATACTGGCCTCATCCCCAGCCCTTGCCACACTGGGGACCAGGGTTGCACACCATACCTGGCTGCCCGGGCTGTCCCGCCTGCCCATCCTTTCCAGGCACTCCTGGGCTCCCAGGGTCTCCTCGCGATCCTTTCTCACCAATTGGTCCAATTTGTCCTACACATCAGAAAAGCAAATAGCAATGACCCACATTTGCTTGCAAGCAAGTTACTGCAGAAATGCAGGCTGGTTGGTATTATTTATGGAGGACCCAATAACCCAAGAAAGGCACACGGGGCTCCACGCTTGGCCGCGAGAAGCCTTCCCAGACTCGCCTTTCTCTCCCTGGTCTCCCTTCTCGCCCTTCATGTTTTCCATGTCCACTTTATCCATGGAGCCAGGCTTGCCGGGGAGACCAGCATCACCCTTATCGCCTTTCAAGCCGGGGTCTCCCCTGGGTCCCGAGGAGCCTGGAAAGCCATGGTCCCCTGTGAGGAAAGAGAAGGCACCGGTGAGCCTGGGCCAGCATTGCAGAGCTGGTCAGGAGGCTCACGTTCTTGTTGACAAAGAACAAACGACTTGTCCAAAATCGCATTAAGGGCCAGTGTCTGAGACACAGAAGAACCTGACCCCAGGTAAACGGGCAGTAAGGCCATTTTCTGCAATTCATTATTCGCTAATAATGCTAATTAATACATGTGACGTGGCTTTCAGCTTTAGATAACTCACATTTTCTCTCCTTGCTACACATCTTTATCACTCTTATTCATACTGCTACATAGTTCTATACAAAATAATAGAATAGGAATTTTATCGTTCTGCTAAGCAAATGACCTTTTCACATGTAATATTTGCAGTATTTCCTCTTAAAAGACATTATTGTGGACCGATTTCAAATCACAAGATGAGAAGTAAAGATGAAGACTGTAAACCTGTGTGGGCTGCTAATTCGAGTCTAAAGACTCAGTCCCTGTGTCTTTGGCATACCTGAAAATTCCACCGTTTCTCACAAGGAGAATCCCATGTGTGCTCAAGTTCCTTCTGATTTGCTTGGCTGAGTACGGTTTTCCACCCTACATGCACTAAGCACCAGGAATCCTACCGGAAGAAAGGGGGTCTCCTGGCCCTGTGCTGGAGTTTCTTGCGTGAGCCTCTTAAAGTGAAATATGATCTATGACAACTTGAGAGTCTCCCAAGAGGCACAGAGAAATAGACACAGGATGAGCTGTGGGGTTATCAGCTCTCCTACCTTTTTCACCCGGTAATCCTGGAGAGCCCACTGGTCCTGGTGAGCCCGGCTGCCCAGGGGTCCCCATGACACCCATTTCTCCCTTGGAACCTGTGGCCAAAGGAAAGGACTGTGAACATTTCTTCGCTCGGAACGCTGACAATAAATGTTAAGAGTCACAAAAAAAAGTAAGGGGAAGCCTGTCTCCTCATCATGGATCCAGACAGAAGTTACCTGGAAACCCAGGAACCCCCGGAGTCCCCTGCTGTCCAGGAAGGCCAGGGAGCCCCGACTGCCCTGTTATGCCGGGAAGTCCTTGAGCCCCTTTATCTCCTTTAGGGCCAGGCATGTCCAGTCCAGGGAATCCAGGGAAACCCTTCTCGCCTTTTATTCCAGGAGGGCCTGTGGTTGGGTGAAATGCAAATAACTTTCAGCAGAATGTAGAGAATGATCTACAATGTACAGTGCTCTGTGTAACTGTGACTATCGGCAGGAAGCATGTGAACACGCCCACACTGGGGACTTGAATGGATCACCTACTCAGTGTTGGTGTTTGGGTCATCAGGATAATCAAATGGCTATTGTTCTAAAAGAAAGGTCCCCTCCTTCCTGTCACTGATAGTCAGCAATGCCACCCTAGGCACCACCACCACGTCTCCTCAGTATTTAGGACAGGACTAGTGTTTCCTGAACCCCATTCACTGAGTGTTTCACTCTAATCTCCATGCACCACCTTCACTCTATGATTATTACTGCCAAAGGCAAAGCTAGGTTCTAGACACGGACTCAGTTAGCGTAAATTATCCACAACGAATTAACCCTCGTATGGAAAGATGATATAGAGACATCAGTTAGCGTAAAATGTAAAACGTGATTGAGTACACAGTAAAGGAAAGGTCTCTTTGTTTGGTACATAATCTCAGAGTCTGGGAAAAAAAATCTAGGACTGCATTTCAGCAAACAACCAAACCTATTTTCACAAACTCAAGTTTTACCTCTTCTCCCTTTCTCACACATTGCGCTAAGCTTCCCTTCGTGGGGACCCCAGCCTCATCTCCCATGCTTCAGGAAAGTAGGCTTTTAAGAAGAGATGATTCTAGAAGAATGTCACTCACCTGCCAACCCTGCTGGTCCCTGTCCGCCAGGGGGGCCCCTCGCTCCCGGGGGGCCTCTTCCTGGAACTCCTGGAGACCCCATGGGGCCTGGCAATCCAGGAGGTCCTGGGTCACCTAGAGAAAAAAGGTTGAGAATCAGCTGTGCAGAAGCAGTGGCGTGTTTCCCGGCATAGGAGACACACGCACACGAATGACCCCAGCAACAGAAAGCCGCCACCTCTAGCCCTCTAGGATTTGCATCATTCATTCAACAAATACGTATCAAGCGTACTCAGCAGGGGTTCTGGGAATACAAAAATAATACTGTCCTTGAACTTGAACCTGTCCGGACTGATCTGCAAAAAGTTACCTCTGACCCCCTGAAGCCCAGGGGGGCCGATCGCTCCACGTTCTCCGGGAACACCTGGTACTCCAACGCTTCCCTTCTCCCCGGGCGCGCCAGGAATGCCGGGAATACCTGGCAAACCTTTGAGTCCCGGTAGACCCACTCCAGGCTCTCCCTGAAAATCCCCAAAGCACAGAGAAGCAAATTAATTTGCAAGGTCAATATATTTATCAAACCAATAGCGTAGGTGAAGACTTGACAGTGCCAATGCATTCGGCAAGAATACCATCTGCTCAGCCCTTTTCACGCCTTTGCAGAGCTTCCTCATGCCTATCACATGTTTTCAGGCTTGTGGGTAACTTTTATCGTTTTCATTTTACAAAGGAGGAAAAGCAAGGCTCCCCACCAATAAACGACATTCTTCTCAAGCCTTCTGACCTGAGCATGTGCCCTCGATTCTGCAGCCTGGTGCCTGTGACAAAGTGTTGACCCTAAGTAACTGATAAAAGGCAAAATATGAGTTGTGAGTAGCGAATGGAGTGCTCCCTAAGAGATGGCTCCAGGGCCAGCATGGACACCCGTTATTTCGTGTTTTTGGATAAATGAAGGTTTCACAGTAAATTAAACATTGTAATCGATGGCATGAGTCACTGGGCTTTGACAGACACAGGCAATTAAAATAAAGGGTGAGAGCGCCTTGGAAACAGCCTGGATTTAGGCACAGATGTAAGGCTCTGAAGCAAGCAGGGGGCCATGGAATCACAGCACTCCACTGGTGTCCCCTGTCTGCAAATGACACTTCCAGAGAGGGAGTATCTGGACATAGTGGAAACTTCTCTATCCATCCCAGGAGGAAATTGTCAAAATGGAAGGAATTCCATCAAGGGGATTCTTGAAAAGGCACGGAATTTTAAATCATGAATTAAATCTTTCATTCGCATTCCATCAAGCATTTACTAACTCCCAAGTCTTGCAGGTTTAAGATGATCCGCATGCTGCTGTGGTTGGCTAAAGGTTCAAATGCGACGTAGACCATTGGGGAAGCTGGTGGCGGACTGTATAAAGACAAAGGCCCAAAGGCTTCTCTTCTGTCTCAGCCACCAGATGAGGGCACCCTGCTGTCAGGAGGTTTGGTATTTCTCCGGAAGAAGCCCCCCTGGGATCACAGAGGTGCGGCCACTGTGATGCCCACCTGCCCTTTCCTGATGGACAGGGAGCAGGCCCCAGCTGGGTCCGTCACTTTTATCCATGGCAGCAACATTTATCCATGGCTGCTGGCCCTTTCTCCCATTTGGTACCAATGCCTTCCAGCCATTTCACATCCATTCCTTCCAATCAGAACAGGAAAGGATGTGATCAGTAGGCCCTCATATTTGCTGAGTAGAATTTTAAGTACAGACAAGTTGGCAGCAGAATATTCGAGGGTGAGGAGGACGCTGAGTTCACCCTGGACCAATAGTTCTCAGGCAGGGGCAATGTTGCCCTCCGGTGCCATCTGCCAATGTCTGGAGATATTTTCAGTTGTGACCGGGTGGAAGGGCACGTCCTTTCGGTCATTCATGGGTGGAGGCCAGGGTTGCTCTTGCCAAAAGCCCTACAAAGGCACAGGGTAGCCATCGCAGAAAAGAATTACTGAACCCAGAATGCCAGGGGTGCTGAGGCTGAGAAACTGTCCTGGCAGACCATGCTTTCTTTCAGGACAGTGGCTTTCAAACAGCTTTCAGCTGCTTCTCAGTAAGAAATGTATTTTACCCTGAGTTCCGGCTTATACACAGGCAAGAAAATATCTGTCATACAATTTCATAAAATTAAAACAAAGGTTTCCCCTCAAAATACTTATTTCCACATGCTATGTACTCTGATACTTCCTATTCTCTGCTATTTCATCAAAAACCAAAACCCGCTGGCCCCACATGTCCTGGGAGGTTCAGAACCTGCATTTTTTTGTGTCCAGTTAATAACGAGGATGGGGGAGACCGGTCATTGAGGGAACACCTGGCACCCACCTTCTGGCCCTGCACACCTGGGTTCCCAGGTAAGCCATTAAATCCCGGGCGACCTGGAGTCCCCGGAGGCCCCATGTCTCCAGGTAAGCCGTCAACACCTGTTTTGAAGAGTCAAAAAAAAAAAAAAAAAACATTGCAGTTACAATCCCCGTACCCACTTTCCTCACTTTAGTCTTGCCCAGATGTGCCGACCTGACCTGAGGCGGTCACCCGCGGAGGCCTTCAGAGGTGGCTGGAAGAGGCCAGGAGAGACTGCCCGGCAGAGGGGCGGGCGTCTAGCTGCCTCCCCCAGCGCCTGCACCCTCCTATCTCCTTCTCTCTTCAAACTTCTCCCTCCCGCCTACTCTCCCCAAACAAAACAAAGACACCCCTTGGCACCTGCAGATGAGAAGGGCACTCTTCCTCATCTACTCAAGATGTGGTAGGGGCAGGGGCACCACCCTCACCTCGTTAGAAGTACAGACCCTGGGGGTCGATCAGGCAGGCCCACTTCTCAAGATGGCAGAGGATCTGAGCCTGAAGGACTCCCGGCCACTGTCTGGGCCCCACCCTGGAGTCTCTGAGGGGCAGTGAAGCTGGCCAGCCCCTAGTTCAGACCCTGTGTATGCAACGCCAGAGTCTCCAATGTCCAGTCATTTGTAAGTTTGCAGTGGCACAGGCCCGAATCACACCCCCTGTGGGGCTCCTCAACAGACAGGGTGTGACGGCAAGTGGCCCTCACCACCCTCCTCACTGCCACAAAGCCAAGCGACTCCATGCCACGTGGGCCACGGCCGCTCGTGAAGGAGACCTTGCGTGAGGCAACGATGGAATATGAAGCAGTCGCGAACGTGGCCAGGCCTCGGCTCCTGTCTCTCATGAACAGGGACACTCTGCTGCCCTCCAAGCCTGAGGGAAGGGGCCACGTGGGTGGGTGGGCATGGCGTGGCATGGCTATTAGAGGACAGGGGCTGCTGTCTCCTGTTCTTCACGCTAGAAGCCTACAGCAGTGAGGGGGGTGGGGCCTGGAGCCTCTGGGTAGGGAGCCTGGGAGACTGGAAAACATTAACCTAAGTTTGGCCGCGTGGCCTGTCGCAGGAAGACAAACTTCCTCACACGGCACGCCCCTGTTGTGCTCACAGCACCTTCTCCTCAGTCCTTAACAGAAGGCCCCTGATGACAAGTCTATTGATCAGAGTCTACCTGAAGGACAAGTAGATCCCAGAAATGTGAAAAAGGGGTGAAAAGAAATTTCCCTCCTTACAGTTTCCAGCAGGAAGTGATGGCTCTCACACCCGTGGACGCCTCCCCCAGAGCAAAGCCCCCTTCCCGCTACCCCCCGAACCTGCCGCTGGGCGCTCCCCCAACTCCCGACCCACCCCGGCCGTGTTCAGGTGGACTGCAAGTCCACCCTGTGGATAAAAACAAACACCTGGGCCTGGGTTTCTGCAAGCGCCATGGTGGCAATGCCCGCGAAGCTCACCCAGCCTTCACGTCCCATCTTCCCAAGCAAACCCTCCATGGCAAGGCAGCCATGGCACAGAAGCCACTGAAGTCACTGTCCTCGGCCCTGTCTGGGCTCTTCTGAAAGCCTCCTGAACAGCACGCACCAACCTGGGTGGTGTTTTCATGTCTACTGCCTCCTCTTTTCTCACAAAAGTCACAGGCGGACCAAAGGCTCAGGCTCGTCTGGCACGGTTACCTTTGGGGCCGGGGGGCCCTGGAAATCCAATCCCCGGCTGGCCCATGGTGCCCTTCTCTCCTGGCAGGCCTGGCCTTCCTGGGGTTCCAGGAAAGCCTCGGTCTCCTGTGGTAAGAAGGACCAACGGTTAGCTTGAGAAAAACGTGAGGATGCTCTCGTGGTATCCCATTGAACTGGATTCCAACCGTACCTTGGGGACCTGGGAATCCTGGGGAGCCTGGCAGTCCTTCTGCGCCAGGGGGTCCTGGTAAAGGAACAACTTTGCCTGCTTCACCCTTTGGACCTAGAAAAAAAAAAAAGAGTAAAGAGAAAAGATAATGAGGACCACACGGAGCAGTGGGTGCGCGGCCACATCAGTCCCTCCCGGCACCACGCGTGGCAAAGAGCAGAGCCTGTCTGAGCTCTCCACCTCTTCCCTCAGCGATTCTAGGATCCTTCACAGACAGCTACGCTTCGCTCCAAAATGACCAAGATATTTGTTGGGCCCTAGAATTCCTTAAGAGTCCACAATTAAGACTCACGAAAACAATCGTGAGATGGCTCTGGGTGACTTCTCAGTGAGCCTGTCCCGAAAAGCCAAGGCACTTTTGCTGCTGTCTCTCAATTTAGCGAAGTCTAAGTTGCTTTGAGGCTGACCTAAATTATGTTCACTGCTGGTAAATTATCCAAACAACATGATCCGCAGGTGATTATGAACGATCCATTAACCGTAATGGTGCATCGGGAGAGCTCTGGGGTCACTTGAGCAGCACGGGAAAACCATCCTTCCTCCCAAGCCAGGAGGCGCAGCCCCAGCCACCTGGGCACTCACGCCTCGGAGAGCCACTGAAGTGTCAGGACTGCACTGTTAAGAAAGGACCCAGGGGTTCCCCTCCAAGAATGCACGCGCTGAATCTTCATATACCTTGTAAGAATCCAAGCTACGTGGAGCCTCCCAAGAACAGCCAGCACATTCTTTAGCTAGACTATAGAAAACGCCAGCTGACTAACCCTAGCAAATATCTGCTGTTGGTGACGCACACCCCTGGGCGCCAGGGTTTTATGATCACCACAGTTAAACACAGCTCTAGCAGATCAGAGACAGTCTTTCTTCTAGTCTCGCAGCTGACTGGGTCTGGATGGCCAAGGAGCCCTGCAGCTATGAACAAAGGATCAACAGCCCCGCCCCACTCCCCAGAAGCCTTCTTCCCCATCTGCTAGGGTACATTTGCGAGTACTCCAGTTGGTTTCTCTGACAGTAGTTTCTCGCCAAAAGGAAGGTTGATTGCCTTTGACAGCTCTGAAAGATGGCAGATGTCACAAGCACAAAGACAGCACTTATTTGTTGATTGTGGAATCAAGAGCTGCAGGGAAAGTGATTGGGAGTCCCTATGCCTGGTTCATGAGGGTCCTCCTCCATTAAACCCGGTATCACCCTACCTCTAATGGAGTCAGAGACATTTCTAGGACGCTTCTAACCGAAGAACAACGGTCAACAGAGTTAGAACTTGATGCTAAGTATCCACTGATTATAGAAACTGGGAAAAGGGTAAGAGTAATGGTTATGTTAGCACACTACACCTGGGCTGCCCTCAAACACTCACATTTCCTATGCTGGAGTGCTTAGATACTTAGGTATGGGAGTGTGTGTGTGTGTGTGTGTGTGTGTGTGTGTGTGAAAGACACAGAAACTCGCTCTGTCATGCAGGCTGGTGTGCAATGGCGTGATCTCACTCTGCTATCTCCACTTCCTAGATTCAAGAAATTCTCCTGCCTCAGCCTCCCAAGCAGCTGGGATTACAGGGACCAGGGTTTCACCATGTTGGCCAGGTTGGTCTTGAACTCCTAACCTCAGGTGATCTGCCAACCTCAGCCTCTCAAACTGCTGGGATTACAGGCATGAGCCACAGTACCCAGCCTGTACACTGTGTATTAATAAGGAAAAATTAGTCCCTAATGGGAACAGGATTTGATAAAACAGGCTAGATAGGGTTATGGACGTCATCAGCAAACCTGTGAGCCAGAATGGCATGGCGTAATTGCTCCAATGTGGTTCTTCTCGAACACTGCAAACATCCAGCTACTTTATTAATAACTACGTTTTTCAAGCCTTACCAGTTACATAGTTTTCATCACCTTAAGTCCTTTCACTCGCTTCCACAACTTGCTGAATGCTTCCTAGCAACACGGATTTACTTCCCTCATCTACAGGTATTGGTCGACTTACGACCTATGCAACTTACGACCATTCGACTTCACGACCACCGTTGCTAGCCACGACTGCTCCGCGTCTGGCAGCACAAACGTTGCCCAGCTGGGCATACGACAGTGCAGACCAATTCCGGCAGCGCTACCATCTCCGCGTGCACCACTTCAACTGTGCATAGAGCCGACTCAACTTACGACCAAATCGTGTTACGACCCTTCCGCGGGCCCGACCGTGGTCATAAGTCGAGCACTGCCTGTACACACAAGGCATCCCCGGCCTCCCCTCTTCTCATTCCAGGATTTTCTAGGGAAGAACAGGAGTGCTCCATGTCTACCGGGAATCGCAGTCAGATAATAAATTATTAGCACCTGCCCTGCGCAAGGCCCAGCACCACACCCCTCTCCCGCTGGCCCTGAAAATAAGCAGGTCACGGGAGAGGAGAATGATGAGGGAGCCCACACTCATCCCAGCTACGGGTTCTCTGAAAAACCTCTGGACAGGCTGTGTAGGAGGGAAGGGACCGAGTCTGCCATTTTTACCACGTCGTGTCGATGCTCAGCATAGAGTTTGGTGCGTGATTCACTCAAAAAACAGCAGACAACAAAACCATCACGGAATGAAATCGCCACCATGGTGGGACCTCTGTACACCAGTTCACAGGCGTCTGCCGACTATGAAGAGGCGGAGATCACACCACTCGGGATACAAGAAGCCAAAACAGGCTGCTCATCAGAGAAAGCCAAATGGGTTAGGAGGGGAAGATGACCTGACCTCGGAGCGACTTCCATGTAAAGGCTGACTGTCGCTGGCGCCTGCTGTGTACCCACTTATGAGGACTGCTGACTCAAGTTCTTTCTAGGGAGAACCTGTAAGTTCCCTGGCCCGTCACATACACAAGGAAAGGGAGGCACACAAAGGCTGAAAGCTTGCCCGGGTCCTGCCCCACTTCCTGGAAGAATGGAAGTCAAGCGTGTGCCCTGGCTTGTCTGAAACCCGGCCTCTGTGTGCACCCGAGGTACCTGCCCCAGCCTCTGTTCACAACTTCATGCTGCACCGCGAGTTTCTCAGGCCTCACCTGGCAGGCCTGGGGACCCAGGACCTCCAGGAAAGCCTGCTTCTCCTTTGTCACCAATGGGACCAGCAGGACCATATCCTGGGGGCCCAGGGGGGCCGGTGTCACCACGACTGCCTGGAAATCCAACCCCTCCAGGGGGGCCACGCTCTCCTTTCAATCCCACGGAACCCTGATGTGAAAAGAGGAAAACACACCATCATCAGAGACAAACCCACACCTGCCCTTATCACATTCCTCTGTCATCTGTGGTCAATGAGTACCAGAGTTAACTGGCTCATATTATTTATTTACTTCATCTACCCTCCCAGGAGGGCCACCTCATACTTAATAAGTGAAACCAGCATTCTTCTCCCTAAGCTAAGCTGAGCATTCTCCCTCCCTCATCTACTTAGGGAGATACTTAAGAGAATGAGATGTTGATATTTGGAATTTTTTAAACAATGACACGAATACTATTAACTTTAGATTTCACCTTCCATCCAAAGCAAAAAGGTATACAAACACACCCGTTCAGTTCCCCCAGATGCATCAGAAGACACTGATCTGTTATCATCTAATTGACAACACTGGCAATGCCTGCGTTTACAGACTTAACTTGTTCTATGAACCACAAAACAAGTTCATTTATTCCATCATCAAGGAGATGGAAATACATAGATCTGATTGAAATTACTCAATTTTCTATTCTTTGCAGACCCCCATTTGTAAAATGCACATACGAAGTCTGGAGATAAACATACCGGCGAGCCCTTGGGGCCAGGAAGACCCGGATGGCCATCTCTTCCAGGAGAACCCGCTCTCCCTGGCACACCAGGCTGTCCTGGAAAGCCTGGGTCTCCTTTGTCACCTTTGAGCCGCAGGTCGAAATAAATCTCACCAGGCTCCCCCTTGGCTCCTGGCTGGCCTATCAGACCTGGTGTACCTTGAGGCCCCTGTAAGAACAAAGCCTTGTGATCCACTGAAGAATCCATCCGTGAAGCACACCAGTGTGACTGTAACACAGGCAACCACAGAATCAAGAAGCCACCTTCTTGAAAATGGTCATGCATTCAGGCCTCATCTTTCATTTTCTAGGTGCAAGCCAGTAGCTCTGTGACAAACCCCCGGTCTGCTGCACTCCTTGTGTTTTTCTTAAAAACACTTATCTTAATTAGGCATTTCAAGCAAAGACCTGGATGGGGCAGAGGGAGTTATAGTGTGGTTTTGGGCACCCAGCTCTCCTTAGGTAGCTTTCTTTCCCTAACAGCTGCTCAATGCTCACAGGAATGCGGCACCTGTCAGGAGGTGCTAATTGACATGGGGTAGGTTGTGAGCTTCAGCCATGGACAGTCGCTGTCCCCAGCTCAGCCTGCTGCCTCAGCCCCAACGGCATGCAGAAGCCTTTTCTCCAGCTTCGGCCCAGCGAGCCACCTATCAGCACCTCCTGGCCATGCTGAATACTCCTGTGAATATTGAACGGGTTTCCCTTTATGCTCGTGCCCAGAATTCCAGAACAGATAAGGACTTCCAGGCCTCAATGAGAGACGAAACCCTGGGAGTGGGCGCTGGGCCAGCTCTGTCATGAGTCATGTCAAGTCAGCAAATTGACTTCCCCAAGAGACTCACACTAGAACACTGCTCAGTTCCTGGAAAGTTAAATCTGCAAAGATCACCACCCACACCCACCAATGGCGTCTCCTCCAGCATCCTGAGATGCGGGTGTTGCAAGAAAAACAGAAAAGGCTTCCAATAAATGTCCCAATTACTTGTTCGCTTAGGCCTGAGAAAGGCATCTTCAGACTCCCTGTTGATTTGGCATAGTTTTAACTCTGGCACAATTCACTTAATGTGAATTCTTTTTCATAAATTTCCTTTCAAAAGGTTCTTAGATATATGTGAATCAGTCACATGCGCATGCTTCTCTGTGTGCGTACCATATGCACTTATCAAAGGAAGGAGCTGGTGGACCAAAGACAGACCAACATCTGCCCAATCTTTAGACTGAAAATATGGCTGGCACTGATCACCAGCCCGCTAGGTGTTATGGCCCTTTCTACAGCACCTCTGACCCTTAATGCAGCTCTGCAAGGAAAATATGGAAACCAGGACTCAGCAGAGAAGAAACTGACACTCAAAGAAGTTACGTGACAGATCCAAGATACCCAGGCAGAACGTGCTGGAGCTGGGGTCCACATTTATACATTTGCAGCTGCAAAGCTTGTACCTGATGCCTATGCCCCGGAGCGCTAAGGAGAGTTAGGTATGAGCTTGTAAAATCTGCCCATTACACAGGGGAGAGCAACAGCTTGAAGGACTTCTGTGTCCTGCTCAAAGTCAAACAAACAGCAAATATGGGACAAACCTCAATAGGGCTGACTTGTTTTCCTGCCTGAATTGCTTCCTAAGAGCTAAAACATTGCAGGCTAAGGAATGGAAGGAGCTGCTCTTCCTCCCGTTCCATCCTCCATGCCAACCACGACGCACTGACGCCTGGCCCAGTGCCGTCCAGCAGGCTTCCAGAAGTACGGAGAGAGTCCGCAGCAACTCTCTGCACTGTTCAACATGACTTGAAAAGTTAAATTAAATAACACAAAAAAAATGCAGTTCCCTCGTCACAGTGACTGCATTTCAAGACTCAACAGCCACCACTGGCCAGCAGCTGCCAGATCGGATGGCAGTGACACAGAACGCTCCTGTCATGGCAGAAGCTTCTCATGGATGGCTACTGGTAGTCTGAGCTGGCCCCATGACCCCTCATGACCTGGGACACTTCACCTGAACCTACTCAGGAAAGATGGAAGACAGCCAGTCTATTTGCTCTGGGTCCCAGGAAAGACAATAAATTATTTCTCTGAGTCACCTGCCAGAAATTGTAGCAGAGGGTCATGGAAAAGTTGTTATTTACTTGAAAGGTATTGTGGGATTTTTAAAGTGTGTCTCTTTAGTTAATATTAGCTCCTGTGCATCCTTCAATCCCTGCTAAAATTAGCCTCCTCTATGAAGCCTTTCCTGTGGGCAGGCACCGCCTTCTGCTCTACTGTATGGACCTCGTTCTGTAAATCACTTTGTTTCATTAGGACAATCTATTTGCAGAGCTGTCTCTCCGCTGGTACTTCAGGGCTTTGAGGACCAAGGCTTCCTAACTCTGTATCCTTGGCATCCAGAACAAAAGAGATACTGGAGGAAGAACACGCGGAACTGGCAATATTCATCAATTTAAAAATACTGGTGCCAGAAATTATAAAGAATGTATATTTTTCTCAATCTGAAAATATCATTACATTATTTTATGATAATTATTCACAGCCTAAAAATATAAAGCTCTCCAATACTATGATCTGAGGGTGAGAAAACACAATTTTTTTACTTTAACAGCGATTACCTTGCCTGCCATCATTCTATTTATGAGAGAAATCTGGGCTTTTGAAACAGTGACATTGGTGACCCTAGGATATCTCCTGTGGTTCCTTTGCCATAGCACTTCTTGATTCTAAGTGGTTCAAAGGTCTTTTGATCCATCTCCCCGAAAATAAATGCTGAGGAATCAAATACTGCCTGGAAAATTTAGCATTGGCTGCATTAATTGGAGAAAGTCTGACATCTAAAACGTGGTGCCACTGAGGGAAAAGTCAGGGAGTGTTAGTTTCAATTAATCTTCCCAGGGACCAGGAACCATGAAATCTGCTCAGACCAACTTGGGCTTCATCAGCCCACTTGCGGAGTCAGCCTTTTGTGATCCATTATTCTTTCTCAAAAATTAAACACTTGGCTTTCAAAAGGAAGTGTCACAGAAATGCTATCTAAGTCAAATGAAAAATCAGAGCATTTTGCTGCTTTTAAATTTTAATTTACTCTCCTGGGTGCTGGTTTGTGGATATCTATTTTAGCCTCTAGCTAAATTCAAAATAAGAGAACCACATTTCTGAGCCAGTTAAATGACGGAGCTTCAAATATAGCTTCCAATAAAATGAAACTTACTAACTTCTCAATTGAGCTATTTACCCGTAAATCTATTTTTAGAGACTTTTTCCATCTACAGAAAGAAAGGAGGTCCTGACGAAGGCACAGGGGTAGAATTGGGGTTGTACCTTTTATTTTCTTCTTTATCATGATCTCTCCTCAATATTCCTATTTTCTCACCTCCTTCCTCTTTTTCCATCTTTATTAGATTTGTCTGGACTGTGTCTCAGCCAGAATTGAGGCAGGAAGTTCACCAGGAAAGCCCAGGAGATGAAGCAGTGGATAGAGGTTAAAACCATCCTTTTCTGCTTCTTTCAAAGTTATTCTGTCTTTGATCCCCACTACAGTCAGGCTACCCAGTTATTTGAACTTCTAATTTATTTAGAAATATTTTAAACAACTGCAACTTCTAACTCAGCTCCCCAGGCACCAGGGAAGTTCTGGAGAGCAGAAGCCCAGAATCTAACTTCAAAAGCAGAAAACGATTGCTGGATTCCAGCTGGGTCATTCCCATTTCATCTCACTTTTGCCCTGGTTTTCTTTTATAGAAGCTTCCAGCAATATCTTTAAAAATTCAAAAAATTTGAAGAGCTACATCAGAAATGAATAATTTCAAAATTCGACTTTCAATTTCTTACAAAAAGAAAAAAAGAAATGAAAGGAATTGTAGAAACTAGTCCAGGCTTGCAGAGCTCAGAAGAACAAAGAAAATATGAGAGGAACAATGCCTTGGGATTTAAAAGCTTCAGAAATGGAACTGATTATATGCAGGAAAATAATGTCCTTCAATATTCAAGATGATTAATACGCTCTTCTATTTAATGGATTCTTTTAAAACAAACTAGAAAAGCTAAGACGCTGGTATTTTGTTCAATTGAAAGGTCTCATGTCGATGCCATCCAGATATTTCATTTACGGATTTGAAAAAGAAGCTACACAATAGATGTTGTAACGGCAACTTTCAACTGAACGGAGAGGAATAAAAACATAAAAACGTATTTCAAATCGTCAGAGGGAAACGGATCTGCTTTCCTCATCTTTCCATAGAAACTATTGACACTGAACCTTCTAAGGAGCTTTTAGATGAGCTGATGTGACGTTACCAGCAACGGTAACACAGAGAGACAGCACTTCAGCTCTGCACTGTGCCGCTCGGGAGTGGCTCCCATGGCACCATCGGTTTCAGGAAATGCCAGAGACCCTGCGGGAAGGACACAGCCCCATTCAGCCACACCCGAACACAGGGAGGCAGCAGCCAAAGACGTTCTGACCAGGTGAGAAGAAAGGCGGCTGTGATTTGGGCTCTGCAGGTGACAGTCTTACTCATTCTCCTGAGACAAGGGGCACGTGGAGTCACTCCAGAGGGCTCGACACAGAGACACTTACCAGAGGCCACGCTTGCAAACGCAAAATTACACAACTCTGTGGATGTGCTTGGTGGCCACTTCTGATACGTGTGTGACCTCAGAAGGGTTTACTTACAGGCACTCCCGCAAGACCGTCTCTGCCAGGCAAACCTCTGTCGCCCTTGGCCCCTGGCTGCCCTGGGAAACCTTTCACGAGAGACAGGGAAAAAGACAGCAACAAGCATTCATGAGACACTTGTCAAAACCTTTCTGAACCACCAGGGCATGTGTATACCTAAGTAACAATCCTGCACGCTCTGCACTGCACCCCAGCACTTAAAGTGTAATCATCATCCTCATAAAAACCCTTTCTTCAGACTCAAAAGCATAAACATCTGTATAGGAAGTGGATGATTGCTTGGACAATCCCAAGGCAGTAACAACTAAAATGCCCAAGATGGACTCAGAAAGGGAAAATGTGACCCAACGCACACGTACACCCGGAAGCAGGAACGCTTCCAGCACCCACCCCCGCCTCCTGCCCACATCCCCAGGGACCACTTAGAGGAAGAACATAAATTGCGTTAACTGCTTGCGAGACAGCAGAAGCCGTGGCAGGCAGGGAGCTGTTATGCTGCTGTCTTTTATGAGGAAATTTTTACATGCCGAATGCGTAGGCTATCTTGATCATTCCCAACAACGTGGGCAAATCCTGGAAATGGGGCTCAGCATGCTTGTTATTATGCTCTAGGACTGGCTGCAGAAAACCGGGCCTTTCATAGAGTAAAATCAGTGTCACAGCAAAGGCGCCAACACAAAAGCAAATTCTGAGCTGGTCCTTTTCACATTTGGGTCTTACCTATTTCTCCTGGGGGTCCCTGTGGCCCAGGAGGGCCCCGATAACCTGCTGTATCACAGATAAGGCAACTCTCTCCTTTTTGACCTGGAAAACACAAAGGTTCTTACATGTAATATGTGACCAGAAGTCTCTGGAGTGCACTGAGAGAATTAAAAGTCAAGGGTGTCACTAACGTATCACGTTCAAACTTAGGTTTGCTCAGTGACTGAACGGCTCCTCCAGGCTCTCTGCTAACAGGTGGAAACTGAAGTCAGATGCGTGTCCCTCTCTGCGTCAATGAACGCGCCCGCTGTCCCCAGCATGCGCCGCATGTGACCACAGAGGTACTGTTTAATGACCCCAGTTCTCCCCTCAGTGAAAGGACACGGGCTGCCTCACTAAAAAGTGGTCCAGAAATTCAACGGTGCCCGTCAGCCTGAAAGACCTGACGTTTGTAATTGTGTCTCGAATTTTAAAATCTCCCATCCCCTTTCTCTTTGGTTGAGTGCGTCGTCCAGTTCACGGACTTCCCTGGTTGGCAGACTTGGGAAGAAGCAGCCACGAAAGCAAGAACGCATGTGTGACCTGACACCCAGGACAGCAGAGGAGAGACACTGTGGCCCTGGAAAAGGCGGTGAGCTGCTCTTCTTTGGAAATTCTAACATCTCAAGTCTTGACTTTCAAGCCAATCTCAAAGACCTTACAGTGTCTTAGCTATTGCTGTATCTTAAATATTAACATGTCTGGTTTCTAGGCACAAATCAGGCATAATATAGAGCAAAAAGTGCTCGTAGAGAAGCTATGCCAGGGACCTCGAGGTGGCGTGGCCATGTTCCTTCCCGTCCCCGCCCTGGCTGGCAGCCCCCTATGGGCACTGCTATTGCCCACCCCGCCCCGGGACACCCCACAGGCAGAAGTAAGACAGGGCAGGTGCAGGTGGGCCATGCCCCTGAAGTGTGGGAGCAGGTGCACAGTTTCAATGTGGGCTGTTTTAGGAGGCAGGACAGGAGCCCATCCACAGAAGGCGCGGGGTGCAACACAGCTGAGAACCCAGCTAAGTTCTGAGCCCCAGGCATTCGTGGGTGTCTCTGTTCACAAAGCTCCAGGAGGGTGGGGGGATGAGGTGCGTTCTGAGCAGATGATGGAGCCAAAAGAGGAATGAGAAGACTCAAGAAGAAAGGTGCTTCTCCTGGGATCTGGGGGATGGATCGCTAAGACGGCAGTGTGAACAACCTCTGGACGTTGGATCTGTCTTAAAATGAAACAGTAATCTCACAAAGCACTGAGTGCCTGGCAACTAGAGTGGAGAGACTCATTAAGAACCAAAGTGCATGCTGACTCTGATCGGTGGCACCCTGTGACGACAGCCAAGACCGCTTCCATTTCAGGTCCTGCCGTGTATGTGGCTCTCAGAATTCTAAGACGCTGGCGGAAACGTCTCCATGCATCATTTCTGTTTTACACATTTGAAGACTAAAGCGTGTTTACAATCCCCAGGCAGAAATGTACACAGAGGGGCTGCTGTGGGGGACTGCCTCCTATCTGACCCATTCTCGGGTTACTACCAGGCATATAGATGTCGGAATATCCACTGCTTATCCCCCTCTAAGACAGGACTGTCGATGCAGTGATAATCCACCTGTGTGTCCAGGATGGCTGAAGAGATAAATACCTGTCCTGTGCGGGTGGTAAGGCAAACGCCTGGAGGGATTAGAGATGGGACTGAGAGCCCAGAGTGAAGCTGAATAATGCCTCAATGGCACATTTGCTCGCACTGATACGTAACACCACTGGAAGAACTGGTGAGCATTCCATGTGCAGGGTTTTGACTTGGCTTGAAGGAGGGACGTGCATTCTTTGATAACAGAACTCCCTTCTCAAACACTGATGGAAAGATGGCGGTAACAAAGCAGTCTGAATTTTATCTGCTGACCACGCCCACTGTAGCAAGACTGACTTCGTGGTCCTTGGAAAGGAGAAAGGGCAAAACTCGGAACTTCAGGGCTGTCTCCACCTTTCCCTCCCAGATCCTTAACTGAGTTCCAGGAAGATGCTTATTCTAGGAAATGGATTTTGAAGGGGGTTCCAAATAAAAGAAGAATACAACTATGCCCACCCTCACCTGACTCCAAAGCCAGCAAGTATGTGGGAAAAAATCCTATGCACAGGCAAAACCACCATTTAAAAAAAAAAAAATCAAAATCTCTCACCTTTCTCTCCAATTTCACCTGCCAATCCTGGCTGCCCTGGAATTCCAGGAGGACCCTGGTCACCGGGAGGTCCGGGCTGACATTCCACAATTCCATCTGAAATGAGTTTTCAGTTATAGGATCATAGCGAGGTCTTTTTACCCTCTCCTAGTGCAACCTCTATTCTTTGTATTTTTCTTTTTTTTTTTTTTGAAACAGAGTCTCACTGTGTCACCAGGCGCCAGGCTGGAGTGCAGCGGCGCGATTTTGGCTCACTGCAACCTCCGCCTCCCGGGTTCAAGCAATTCTCCTGCCTCAGCCTCCCAAGTAGCTGGAACTACAGGCACATGCTACCACGCCCAGCTAATTTTTTTTTTTTTTTTTTTTTTTTTTGTATTTTTTAGTAGAGACAGGTTTCATCATGTTGGCCTGGATGGTCTCCATCTCCTGACCTTGTGATCCACCCACCTCAGCTTCCCAAAGTGCTGGGATTACAGGCGTGAGCCACCACGCCCGGCCAGCAACCTCTATTCTAAAACCGAAACATTTTAAGCTATTTGATAGGTATTAAAAACTCAGTTTTAGTTTATTTCAAAATAATCTTAGAATATCAACCACTTGCAAAACATAATCCGGACACACCACACACATCGTCCATTCGCCATCCCAAGCAATCCCTGCTAATATTTCTACTTCACAAATTCTAAAGTGTGTGTAGGTGCGTTACCACCGTCCTGCATACGATCTCACTTCATCGTGCAGAGTGTCTACCAGCACCCTTATTTTACAGATGAACACACGGAGGCTCAAGAAAGCTAAGTGATTTGCCCAGGGTCATGCATCTGTTAAGTCAAAGCTGAGACTAGAACAATTTTATTCCTTTCCCCGCCCCCGCTCTAACCCAATCTACAACAAAACTAATCATCATTTTAGAGCTGCAGACTACCCACGAGGAAATGCCTCGAATTGTTCCCATTCAATTCTGAGTTATCATTTATGTAAAGAGACACAAAAATAAATTGCAGTAATGCACACACCATCTGTCCTAGGTTCCAGTAAAAAAAACATCAGTATTGTTTTACGGTTTGGATACACATGAGATGACGTTTATATTTCCTTTCCCAAGATCTTCGATGAACAAGACACACTGAACAACTTGGCACCTAGCCTCACTGCCCAGACCTAATCCTCACATTCAGGCACCAGCGCCAAAGGCCCTCCCCTCCCCTTTACAGGGTCTTCTCCTAATGCCAGAGTCACGGGCAGTCTCTGTCCAGCTGTCACCTGGACACCCGGAGTCCCCAGGGTGTGGAATGGGGGTGTGGGGCCCTCAGGCTTGGATGCATTAACCAAGGTCACTTTCCAGCTTGCCCACGTCAGCTGGAACCAGAACGCCTAAGAAGGGCCCAAACCTTGTCTGGTGACTCGGTTTAGAGCTCAGCAGAATGAGTTCGCTCCAGCTCTGTAGGAACTGAGGGGAAGCATTCTTGCTTTGCTTGTTCCTTATGTGCTACATGTCTTTCCCTGAGTTTCTTCCCCAGGAAGCACAGGAGGTGAGAAAGCTTGAGTGGGGTCACCATTGGTCCCCCATGGCCACTGCCAGGGACCTGCTCCTAGTGCCTCTGGTCCTGCCTGGCTCCTCCTCGACCCTCTGACCTTGATGCAACTGACGCCATCTGTCTTAGACAAAGTGGACTCCACGTTCACGCTTCAAAGAGCAGCCCCTAAATTACTGAAAGAACCCACGTCTCTCAGCCCTGTGAGCCCAGGGTATATTAATTCCCTGCCTCTGGAAATGTATGCTCATGAATATTGAGAGACACGCAATGATTACACTCCTTCAGAACATAACTCCTGCCTACTTCGGTGAACCAGAATCCCTTCACATCCCTGGCAAAATTAAAAATTAAAATTAAAAAAAAAATGGTATGTCCTCACCGAAGTCCATTTAAAATCATTTAATGTGGTGATTATTTCTGAGGAGTTCTAAAATGCGGGTCTGGAGTTCACATTTTACACCTTCTCACTGAGGGTGCCTGCAGCCACAGACAGTTCCGAACTGGCTGTACCCACTGAGACAAGAAAGCTGCAGCGGAACTTAGATGCCAAAATCACGGCACTGCACGGTTCACGCTCTATCGATAAGTCCCAAGGTCGCAATGGCTTTAAGATGTAGCCTCTTTACATACATTATATATCTTAATAAAAATCTCATTTCTAAATTATGACTTAACACTCTGTGATTGGGAATTACTTAACTTACATGGACTCAAAAGGCCACCTTGAAAATGTGGAATTGTAAATATTACAATGTATTCGGCTAACACATCCCAGTCCATGAACAGGAGTGTAAAGCTCATATTTTTATAGGACATGCGTTTGTATTTCGGCATTTGCAAAATTACAAATATCCAAAAGAAAGGCCCTTTTCCAGATTTCCCCATTAATGGCTCCCTCAACCCTTCCTGTGCTTGTAAATGACTCTGCTTAAAACCACAGTTCCCCGCCCCAGCCCACCCCACCCCAGAACTCCCTGTTGACTCTCCTGCTTATGCTTATCCCTGGACTTCTTATCATCTCCCGCATTCAGAGAATTCCCTTGTCTTGGGTTACCCATCTGCCCCGTGGAATGCTTGCTCCAGGACGGCAGGATCTGTTGAGTCTTATCACCACTGTTAGATCCCTGCCTGCTGTCTCCCAGGCATGCCCTTCCCTGCTGCATGAATCTAGAACCCAAAGGCCCCTTGGACAGGCTCAGACACATAGAGAAAAGGAGACTCTGGACAGAGTATCTCCGGACTGCAATAGTTCATCTTCATTTCCCATGTTTCACAAAATCACAAGAGAAGAGGAGAAAAGCTTCCCAAAGTCACATATGATCCGTTCTTTCTCCTACTCAAACTCCGGCAGATCACATTCCCAGGGAAGCTGCCAGGTTGGAATCCATGGCTCTGTCTCGTTCTGGCCCAGCCCTGATAGCGGCCTGATCCATGAGAACTCCCTTTCAGAAAGATGCTTAAATTCTAGCAAATAAGTCTTGCTGGGACTGGAAGCCTGGGAGTCCTCTTACTCAACCCCACAGAGGACTTGTGTTTCGGGGTCCCCACAGAGCACACGTTGGTTTTGACCCAGCAGGTTCCAACGGCTGGCTCTGGGTATCCAAACACACTCTCATTGGACAGGTTGGCTTAAATTCTTGGAGATTTTCTTAGAGTTTGCATTGATGTTGTATTGGGACCACAGGGCCATCTTAATTGAATCAAGAGTTCCATGTTACATATTCAGCTTTTCTGGAGTAAAATCTGGCTTTTCCGGATTTTACTAATGCAATCTTTACCCATGTAATCCTGTCTTCCTTGTTTTTAGTGTGTGTGTGTGTGTGTGTGTGTGTGTGTGTGTGTGTGTGCGTGCTACTCTGAAGAATAATGCATTCCGTTTTCAATAAAAACTACGTACCTCAACAGGCTTGCTTTTTAACTTTCAATGTCATGGTTGCTTTTTAACACTGGGAATGTGACCGTGTGAATTTGGGTAGGAGAAAGAGCGGACCATATGTGACTTTGGGAAACTTTAGATGCTTTTTAATTTTAGAGACTCAGAGCTGGTTAACATATTATTTATTCCTTTAAACCAACTTTACTTTTTATTTTAACTATTGCTTTTTGTAGCACAGTTAATTCTGTGAAGATTCCCTTAGAGGAATGTGAATGATTAGAAGAATCCACGCCTTTCTATTATACTCTGTGTATTGGGACTGTCACAGCCCCCAGCCTGGCTCTGCTCAGACACGACATTAAACCATCCCCGAGGGAACTCACTTGTGTAGCCAGGCTGCCCAGGAGGCCCGGGGAGGCCAGGAGGACCCTGGAGCCCGTCTCTTCCACTGGGTCCTGGCAGAGATAGGCCCGGAAATCCTCGTTCACCTTTTTCTCCTCTTTCTCCGGGGAAGCCAGGGGCACCGATCTGCCCAGGCACCGGGAGGCCTGCAACCAGATGGAAGTGCACATCAATAACCTCAAGGCTGCTTAGCATCTACAGCACAAACTCATTCTCCCAACTCTGTTCAAGGCAAAATGGCGACCAGACCATCGCTGACAGGGGAACTGCCTTAGACAAGTAAAACCAAATTAAGCTGGCAGACGTTTTGCCATTTCATGCCGACAGTCAAATGTTTCCTACATGTTAACTTCAAGGAACAGGGACTCATGACGTAGACATTAAAATCTGTGAATTTCTCTGAGTGCAAATAGCCTTCCCAACATCTAAAAAACAGGCTGTGGGAGGCGCGCTGCATTTCTACGTGGAGCACGAGGGCACAGAAACGTCATTCAACAAAGCGAAAGTGGACCTGAAGCAAAGTGGGGGTCACTGGGTTGGAACCTAGAGGCCAGAGCAGGACTAAGGACGCAGAAGAAGGTTCTGCGAAAGGTCGTGAAGTCAAAGGAGCCATCAGGTGTGAACATTCAGGTCAGCTTCAGCCACTGTGCCTCCCTGAGGGAAAGACCACGTGGGCTGGGGATTGCTGAAGCCTGAAGGCACCGCCTGAGAGAGTGATGAGAAGGCTGCCCAGAGGAGGCTCTGCTGCTCCCGGGAGGGAAGCGCCAGCCTCTGCTCCTGAGAGTGTGAGAAAAAGGACAGCTGAGGGACATGGCACGCGGAAGACCTGGTGTTAATTAAGAACAGCGTGGAGAGGAGAGGGAGGAGGACACTGAACCTGAGACATCCAGCCTGTCACTGGAGAAAGGTCAAAAGCACAAGCTGCTCCAAGACAGCCAAGGGCCCCTGAGGGGCGGCCCCTGGGGGCTTCCACCAAACACCGAAGGAGGAGGCTGCACCTCTCACGGACAGGAAATTGAAGGAAACCCCTGGCATGAAGCCAACCCTCACCCTCAGAGTGGGGAGGACGGTCAGGGCCACAGGCGAGCCCAAGGCGGGGCTGGACGGAGAAGAACACAGCAGTTTTGGGAGGGGACATGGTAACTCCTCCAGCAAGAACAACTCCAGTGGCTTTGTATCAAGCATCTGGGTTAAGAGGCCACTAGGCGTAGATAAAAGGTTGTAGACAGTAAGACGCAAGGCTCCTGCTGAGGAGACGTGATGGCATTCCTGAGAGTCCAAGAGGTAAGCAGGGACGACAGCGTTGCTTTAAGGGTAGATTCAGAGTTTTTACAGAAAAGAGAGGAAGTGGGAGTGGACGAAGGCCCTGCCCTGAGCCAGGCATGGGCTGTGTGGGGTGTCATCTGTTCCCGAAAAAAAGAAAAGGGGAGTTCTGCAAGAATTTAGACCAGCTGGAAAGGAAAAAATATAAAATAATAATTGGGGATAAAAAAATCAATGTAAAAATTGAAAACAAAGCAAAAAGCTTAAAGGCTGCGAGCACTGAGTTGTGTGCCAATGGTAGGGCATGGCAGCATTTCTATCAGACACTTATTTTACCAGCGCTGGGACCCGGGAGAATACCACAGATGTGCACGCACACACGTGTACACACATGCATCTGCACACACATATGGGAACACGCGCACGCGCGCATCTGCACACATGTGGGGGACGACACGTGCACGCGCATCTGCACACACGTGGGGGGACGACACGCGCACGCGCGCATCTGCACACACGTGCGGGGACTACAGTGAGCCTCTGCAATGCACAGCCTGCTAGGACACGCACGTTGGCTCTTCTGGAGTGGCGGCAGAATAACTTCACCATGAGGAGCCCCGGGGTGCTGGGGAGGCCAGGCTGGGACTGGGCACAGCAGCTAGAAGGGGGTTGGTGCTGGAGTCCGATCTCCAGCGGGGGAACATCCAGAGGGAGAGGAAAGTGGTGGGAAGGCTGAGGAGGAAGGCGTCTGATTGTGCTAGAATCGGGGCTCTGTGGAAAGGCAGGACCTGCTCAGTGGGAGCTGTGGGAAAAGAGGGGCCAGGCTGGCTCTGGCGGGTTAGATCAGAGCTGAGCAGAACAGATCTGGATCCCCCAGGAGAGACATAAGGGTGTACATGTTCATTAACATGCCAAGCTGTCACTTACAAAGACCAGATAGTTATCTACGAGCATTTGTCTATTCTGCTTCCATAACTAGAAAAGATGTGGTAAGATTGCTACGAAATGTGTGGAAATATTTAACATTCATGATAAATTACACATTCAGAATATAAACAGCACAGAAGGTGTGCAACTATGCTATAAAAAAATCGGTTAAGGAGTCTCACCTGGAGGTCCGGGTTGGCCTTGTATTCCCGGGAAACCTTAAAAGACAAAGAGAGAGTTGGAGCAAACAGAACAGTTCACCCATTTGTATACACTTTTTATTTCTCTGCTGAAAGCCTTGCTTGGTGCATTAAGTGTCCATGCCCAAGGGGAATGTGGAAAACAGAGCTGGAGACCACCTGAGCCCCTACTCTGAAAATGCATTGCTCTCGAAGCTACAGAGAAGGGCTCCTGGACCCCCCTGTGGCAATGAAATAGGAACTTGGCGGAGACCTGGTCACCAGACAGTCCTGCAAGGCCTGCAGATGCTTTCAAAATATGGATGGACACAGGTCAAAACTAGAAAACAAGAGAGGAAAAAAGAGAAAGCCGGGTGGCGGGTAGAGGGAGGAGGAGGAGGAGGAGGAAGAAGAGGAGAAGGAAGAGGAGGAAGAGGAGGAGGAGGAAGAGGAGGAGGGGAGGGGAAGGAGGAGGAGGAGGGGGAGGGGGAGGAGGAAGAGGGAGAGAAAAAGGCAGAAAGCTACCTTTCGGGCCCGGCTCTCCTCTCGGCCCCGGAGTCCCAGGGTAGCCCCGCTCTCCTTTCTCTCCCAAAGGTCCTGTGCCTATAACCTGAATCAAGAAAGGAAAGGTGACGATCCCGTGGCGTGGGTGGCTAGTCCCGTAGAGTAAGGCAGTATGAGTGAAGGAAGGGACACATTCGCTATTGTTTCAAGAAGCACGGAAGTGAAGTAGCAGCAGCGGCGGTGGACAGGGAGGCAGGGGACCGTCCTCAGAGACGTATGCAGGAGCTGGGGTGCAGCTGACCCTGCAGAGGACTCGCCAGGCAGGCGGTCCCGCTTCCTCTCACAATCGTTTGCCTGGCAGCAGCTTTTTTAACACTCCAGTGGGGTCAAGTTGGACTAACATCAATTTGAGGCTTAGGTTTATAATTTCTAATTGTACATACAAGCCATAAATAAAATGTTTTACATTACAGGGTATTCTGAGAGGAACACTCTTAAATTTCCTGAGGCTATATGTAATAGGTATATGCAAATTTTCTTATTGGAAGAGTTTTTGGCTTTTTTTTTTTTTTTCTGAGGACCAAAAGTAGGCATTTCCTTAAGGTCACAAGACAGTAAGAGGCATTTTTGGCTCATTAAAAAGGAGAAGGCCGGTCGCAGTGGCTCAAGCCTGTAATCCTAGCACTTTGGGAGGCCGAGGTGGGTGGATCACGAGGTCAAGAGATCGAGACCATCCTAGTCAACATGGTGAAACCCCGTCTCTACTAAAAATACAAAAAATTAGCTGGGCATGGTGGCGCGTGCCTGTAATCCCAGCTACTCAGGAGGCTGAGGCAGGAGAACTGCCTGAACCCAGGAGGCGGAGGTTGCGGTGAGCCGAGATCGCGCCATTGCACTCCAGCCTGGGTAACAAGAGCGAAACTCCATCTCAAAAAAAAAAAAAAGGAGAAAATTCACTGAGCCTGATTCTAAATTAATAAAATTCAAGACAAGTGGCAAAGTCAACTTTTGCATATTACCTTTAAAATATAATTCCTGTGTATTAATTAAATTAATAGATATTAAAACATGTCAATGTAAAATAGCTAGATTTAGTCATTCCACAGGTTATACACATAAAACATCATGATGCATACCATAAGTATATACAAGTTTTATTTGCCAGTCAAAAAATCGATAAAGTAAAACCTTCTATGTAAATCTATAAATAAAACGGGCTGTGCGAACACATTACCTGCAGCACTGCAAGGAAGGCAGCGGAGGAGAGAATGGTAACATTTTCATTAGTTCAAAAAACCAGGGGCAAAACGGCTGAAGCAATGACTGACAACTCTCCGAGAGGACCGAAAACGAGCACCGTGAAGGCACTTGCAAACCTGACAATGCCTATTTTTAAATGTCACACACATCACCGACAGCTATGCAAAATATGTATGTTGACCAGTAGTAAAGTGTTATTTGCAAAAATAAAAATGGTTTTGCCAGGATAGTTAAATTGTACATGACCTGTTTCTCTGACAAAAATTTTCCTCAATGGGCCATGTTTTTGTTGTTGTTGTTGTTGTTGTTGTTTCTTAAAAAAAGGTGTCAAGGCTGGGCACAGTGGCTCATGCCTGAAATTCCAGAACTCAGGGTAGCAGAGGTACATGGATCACCTGAGGTCAGACGTTTGAGACCAGCCTGGCCAACACGGTCAGATCCTCTCTCTACTAAAAATACAAAAATTAGCTGGGCATGGTGGCAGGTGCTTGTAATCCCAGCTACTCCTTGGACTTGAGAGGCAGAGGTTGCAGTGAGCCAAGACTGCACAGCTGCACTCCAGCCTGGGCAATAGAGCAAGACTCCATCTCAAAAGAAAAAAAAAGTCAAATATGTTACTAATATTCTCATCCAAGTGCAAAACTTTTCATTTTCAGTGGTTTAAAGATGTGCAGGAATTGTCAAAATATAATAAAAATAGTAAATACTAAACGCCATACAATACAAATTAGAAAATCATGTCAAGTAGCATGAACCACTTTACATAAAAATGCAGTTCTAGAGACAGCTGTGCGGTTCTGCCCTGTGCCTCTCCTTCCTTCCCCCCGCACGCTCGCAGACCCAGGGACAGTACCCTACTCACAATTCCAGGTGGGCCGGGAGGACCTGCTTCACCTTTTTCTCCCTACAAAAGAAAAGAAAACTTTCCTTGCATGTTCTTACCATAAAGATCGTCTTGAAGAAAGCAGGTTAAACATTTCTTCTGGTAAAATAGAGTGCCTGGGGTACATTAAAACTATTTTTCTCTCCTTAGTATCTCTCATTCCGTGACTATTACAACAAAAATGGTTAGACTTCACTTTCTTTTGCACACACGTGACATGTGAAAATAAGGATTTCTGTAAAATGTCAGCTGGGGGCTAATTCTTCTTTTTCCAAAAGAGCCCAGATACTTGTCCTGTCGCTTGCACACTTGCTGGGAAAACAACCATTGATGAGCAGAATTGGTCACCAAGGTTTTTCCACTTTAAAAAGAAAAATGAAATAAAATAATATAAAAGCATGATTTCCAAATATATTTTCTTAAAGAAATCATTTTACATGAGGTTTTTGGGTGAAGATTTTCTCAAATTTGCATTGGAGATCATAATATAAAATCTAATATTAACTAAAAACATTGGTGGATAAATTCTGATCACTTTAAGTTTTAGTCTCATCCATAGTAGATGAAAAACCCAAAGAAATTAACCGTTTCATATCAAATATTTTTATATTAACATCATCAAAATGATTTAAACAGCCCAAAAATATGTACATTATGACATGAATGTATATTTTTTCCTTTTATATTAAAACAGTAAACAAAAATGGAATGTTTTGAATTTTCTTATATGAATACCAAATTTTAGAAATATCTAGAGGACATAAATATCTCAGCCACTATGTTCTAAATATACCTACTATTTAAAATTTACAGGATTTTACTTCCTCAAAAATTAAGGCCAAGGAGTTCTCCCTTTGTCTCTGGCTTTAATAAATTACCGGTAGGCTACGCAGGCCTCTCCCAGGCTTTCCACTCACCGCTGGTGATGAATAGTCCAGAATTCTCTCTTGTATTAGTAAAGATTTACATTACCTAGTCTCATCATAAGAGAGAAAACTAAAGCAATAATGAGATTTTTTTCTGCCTGTAAGATTGATAAATATTTTTTAGAGTTTTTCTGTTTGTTTGTTAATTCCCCAACTAAAAGGACCCTGGCCTGGCAGAAGGACTTTCTGGGGCCATTTGGTTGCATATGGCAAAAATTTCAAAACAAGTGTCCCCACGTGGACCCCACTATTACACTTTTAGGAATTTGACAGAAAACAACCAGACAAGTGAGCAAAAATACTTGTAAGCATATACATTCGGAAACGGCCCAAATACCAGGCAACAAAAGGCAGGGATGTTCATAATTATATTGATGGACATTGAAATAGATCCTCCTCTCATGATTATGTGAAAAAGTCAGTTCTATGGTTCACTGTCACCGTTACAAACTGCCTGCTTGTGTATGCACACGGGGACGATGCAGACTCTGGACGATTCTGAGAAGGTCGTAGAAAAAATTAGGGAAGCTTTCTTTTCTTCTTGATATCTTTCCATATTTCCTATTGTTTTATGATCAGGAAAAAAAAAAAATCTACTACCAAAAAAAGACATCAAAACTTGACTGGGTGGCACATCTCATGTATTTTCATTTTATTTTTTAATCCTGAAGACAAAGGAAACCACTAAATTGTGTTTTTTCCATAAGAAGCATAAACCATTTTTTTTCCCTTGAGTACACGGTCCTTTATTCTAGGAAAGAATAAGCAGACTTCTGGGTTGAATTGGAAAGTGAAGATAAAGACTCACAATAGTGCCAGTGTTTACCTGTGGGCCCTGGCGGCCTACGAGTCCTGGGTACCCGGGATCGCCAGGAAAACCCTGAAACCAGAGAGAAGCAGCAATCATCAGAGGCCAGTGACAGCAACAGTGGGCCGGCTTGTGAAAGCTGCAGAAACACTTACAGGGCTCCCTTTCTCGCCTTTGTCACCGTCTTTTCCAGGTTTTCCCTGTAGAGTAAAGATGCAAATGTTACTTTCAATAAATAATAACAGTGACTAGGATGTGCCGGGCGCGGTGGCTCAAGCCTGTCATCCCAGCACTTTGGGAGGCCGAGGCGGGTGGATCACGAGGTCAAGAGATCGAGACCATCCTGGTCAACATGGTGAAACCCCGTCTCTACTAAAAATACAAAACATTAGCTGGGCATGGTGGCGCACGCCTGTAATCCCACCTACTCAGGAGGCTGAGGCAGGAGAATTGCCTGAACCCAGGAGGCGGAGGTTGCGGTGAGCCGAGATCGCGTCATTGCACTCCAGCCTGGGTAACAAGAGCGAAACTCCGTCTCAAAAAAAAAAAAAAAAAAAAAAAAAACAGTAACTAGGATGTAACACCAAAGCTCTGATTCAGATAGCTTAATACGTTGTCTCTTTTATGAAATCACAAGCAAGGTAAAGGAGGGCTCCATGCGAGTCGGCAATACCACGACAATAAGTAATACAGTACGTGATGAGTCAGTGAGCAGGTGCAATAGAAGAGAACTCCATTTTTAAAGAACAGAGTCCTTCTAAAATATGATTGTATCCCGGTAGCCAAGCTCACATCAGAGAAGTCTGCCTATTGGCAGCTGAGTATTTGCCAGCTCATGCAAATGCTTTATTTCACACAGGTTTCCGCATGTTATTTCCAGGTAGCAACCAGAACCATCCCAGAGACCTACCCAGCAGCGGGATAGGTCTCACACCACCACCATCCCCAAAGTGAAAAGCATCTCAGCCTCTCGGGCTCATGGCTGTGCAGACACGGTCTGGTGTTCCGGGTGGTAAAGTCCAGCCAGCCTGCTGCTCTTGGACAGAGCAGGACCGAAGGTTTCAGGGATGGCCCAGGGCTCTTCGGAAGCCTCTTTCCACAGCCAGAGGCTGATCCATAAACAGGGAAGGACCTCGCCTTCCTGGGAGGCCTTGCAGATGATACAGCTCAGGAGAGTCTCGGGAAAGCACGTCAGGGCAAGAAGAGATAAACTAGAAATCCCTGCGAGCTTTTCCATTCTCATGTTTCTATGAATCTGCGACTTCCGGCATGAAAGAACTGTTTCACGATCAAAGGGTTTTGGAAACCACTTACTCTGGGTCCGGGTTTTCCGGGGTCACCTTTCTCTCCGACCCCTGGCATTCCCTTAAATGAACAAAAAGACAAAGAGATTCATTCGTCTATTTAAGCGAAATGTTAAATCAGACAAACATTAAACTTGAGGTGAAATAAGCTTGTAACTTAGATCGGTACTTTATGGTCTCTGACCTAAAAATAACAGGCAGAAGGTGAGTACTTACTTGAAATCCAGGTTCACCTTTTTGGCCCTGAAAGAATTAGAGGAACAGATAAGCACTATCAAACAGCTGTATCAATTGTTGTATGCTACATTAAACACACGACAGGGAGAAAAGCACTCGTTTTCTGTTACATTAACAAATAAAGTCACGTCGACCTCCAGCAGTCACTTAGCACTGGCACAAACGGAGGAAGGCAGAGTTCGTCATGCCTGACCCACGATGACCGGCCCTGCCCTCCTCCTGCCCCCGAGCCCGGCTCCCTCCTGCTGACCAAGCCATACAGAACCGGGGGCACATTTAAGAAGCGCTGATCCAGGAGGTGAGCCTCAGAGGAGGCTTAGACCAACCCGGTTCCAGCTGCCTCTGCTCTCGAAGGTGCTCCTATTTTATGGAATGAACGATCTGTCAATCTGTTTTCCAGGTCAGGATTGAATGTAGCTGGAAAAACTGAGTTTCCACCCAGTTTCTCTTTGTCGCTTGGAATTTGTCCAAAATTAGAAAATCAGTATTCTCTGGATGAAGCCCATTCATACCTTTTCTCCCTTGGTGGCATAGTCTCCTTTTTCTTGAACTTGAGCTTGTCCTGGCACTCCCGGAGGCCCACTGACCCCCTGATCACCCTGTCGACATAAAAATGTGAAATTAATTAGGCATAGAAACAATTATTCAAAGACGAAAAAATACAGAGAGGTAAAAGCCTAAAATAAAACACCTATTTTTAAAATGTAATTATACTCTATTGTATTCTAATCATCCTTGCCTCTGCAGAAAATTTCAGTAGGAAGATGGCACAGTAAGTATCTAAAGCCAGGAGAATTTCACTTCCCTGGGGCCACAGAAGGATGGGCAGCCACTAGCTCGGGAATAACTGTGGAATATGAGCACCTACAAGGCACCTGGACGTGCCTGCGCCTGTGTAGGGTATACTGGCTTCAGAGGAAAGGAATACAAACTGCCTAACAGAGTTTGAGAAAAAAGAAGGCATTTTAGGTAACCCCAAAATAAGACAACCATCAAGAGTCTCCTTCCTCAGGCATCCTAACTGCTGGCTACACCTCAGCATTACAAGGGCATCCATTTCAGAGTCATCATACAGCAAAGTTTATGAAAACAATGGGCCAAAATCTGGGGTGGCAAGCAGAGGCCACCTGCACGTCCAGATCCATCCAGGCCCCACTCCAGTGGGTGCCCCAGCTGCAATGGCCTCCACCAGCTGGGATGCCAGAGGGGAGTCTGGCCCTTCCACAGGCTGGTTGCAGCAACGGCAGGCAGCTCGTCTTAGCCAGCGCCTGCTTCATTGGTCTGATCCAGGGAAACTCCTGGAGAGGATCAGGGACCCACCACTTGCCTCCTCTCTGCAGGGTGAAGTCGGCTGCCACGGTCCGTGCCCTCCCGGTTCCACACTGCATCTCCTCCCACACCCACCTGGCCCTGGGCCTGCCTGCCTCTGATTAGAGAGGCCGACGGTGAGGGGCCCACTGCCAACTGTGCTCGTCCCAGGGCTCCTGGAGACGGCCCTGGACCTTCCCGCCTCCGAGAAGAGAGGCTGGTGGTGAGGAGGCCACTTCCAACCGAGCTAGTCCGAATTCTCCTGCGGATGGACTTCAGCACAGCAAGGCTTACAGCGTCAAGTCCTCAATTGGATGCTTATAAATCCTAGGTCTGACCTCATCACTGAGGAAGAAGAGTTTGATTGAACTCTTTATACAGATCATTGGCATTAGCCTCGTTGTTCTCTGCCCGTCAGACCACAGAGCACTCTCACAAATTCAGTGTACTGAAGAAGCTAGAATAAATTCCATAATGCTGGCATTTTAAGGAAAACACCACGTAATGCGAGAGCATGTAGAGAAGAGTAACTACACTTAGAAAGTCTAAACGTTGACCCGGAGGTGGGAGCCGTCAGCTGAGGACTGTGATTTTCAACATGAAAGCACTCCAGAGCAATGTGCACTCACCTTGTCACCTTTCGGTCCTTGAAAACTTAAGCCCATTTGCCCCTGTGGATTAAAAACCACGCTTTCATTATTGGACTTGTCAACTTCGCTCAAAGTCATTCTACAAACCTCACACAAAATGCAGTAAGACAGTAGATTTCAGGCAACAGCTTTGTCGCATAACCATCATAAAACTTTCTGCAAAGTAACGATCACGCTGTATTCAATGGCTATGAAAAAAGTTTTTAAAGCATTACTGAGCAGAGATTCTAAGACCTTTTTTTTTAAATTTACAGTTTTCAAATTCTTGCATTAGAAAACTAAAGGAAATATCAGCGATTCCAAAGTATTGACTAAGGGGTGAATGAAAGAAAAGATCAACAAATTGATAGATGATTAATAGATAATAAATGATAGATGATACTTAAAAATATCTTTAGATAAAGATAGTGTTAATTTGCCAATTTTTTTACAGACTGAAAGAAGAAGAATAAGCCATAGCAATTTCATGATAGCCTTATACGAATACCAAAGGGCAAGAAATGAAAAGAAAAAAACCTTTACCTTTTCACCTGGAGGGCCGGGAGGACCCGGGGGGCCCTGGGAGAGACAGCATTTTAATTAAATAGGATTCACAACTCTAGGGAGCTTTAAGTGCTTCTTTAGGCCAACGTTATCTTAAGATTCTCCGGTCAACATGGGCACATTCATTTGTTAAATATTTTTCCTGGGCTTCCCCTCGCTCCCCGCTCCTGGCAGGTACAGGAGCCTCAGGTGTGACCATATCACTACCAATCCTTCTCCCCTGCTCCACGGTGCAGCCACCCAGGGCAGAGCGTGCCTGTCCATCTTTGAACTCACTCCCACAGACTGTGGCTATCAGCAATACCCAGCCAGCCCCTACAGTCATGACTGCATTACCTGTTTCAGGATACCGGTTTATGATGCTACCATCATCCCTGTCCCACAGCTCTGGGGATATGAAAACCGGGTTGCCAGCCAGATGTTTAGTAAGAGGGAAGCTGATTCTGCCATGTCCAAATTAAGAGCAACCATGACCGTGTGAAGTTTTTACTAAATTATTATTTATGTTCACACCTCAATATGGTTGTCCTTTAAATGACTGCCTTGGAGAGACAGCCCCAAAACTTACTGGTGGTCCGGTAAATCCTGGAGGCCCAACAGGGCCTGGAAGCCCTGGCAGTCCTGGTGGGCCCTAGAATGCATTGGGAAAGAAATGAGTTAAGACGTGAACCTGGTGGGGGTACACTGGCACATGTTCATAAACATCCAGCAAATGCTTACCGTCAGTCCTGGGGGTCCGGGAAATCCTCGTTCACCTTTCAACAGCATCCCGGGCACATGGCCAAGTATCTCGCCTGGATCACCCTAGAGGATGGAGAAAGAAAAAAGCAAGTTGCAAACATTGACATTCAGGTGAAAAAGCTTAAAACTCAGTGAGCAGTTGGCACACGTTACTGTTACAGGACTAGCCCGCGTCTGGAATTCAGGCCCTGTGTAAACCGGAAATCGACAGCCTGGCCGTGTCTCCATCATGGCCAGCATCTTCCCGACCAGCGTTAACTGCTCCATGGTCAGCTCAGCCGCAGCCAGGACTGAATGTGGAGACGGCCAAACAAAGGGGCCGTAACACTGTCCACCTGACTGTCCCCCCATCTAGACAAGCGCCCCTGCCTCTCGTTGAAAGACTACTGCATGACCACAGGCTCTTCCCACAAAATAAGAATTCTCTTTTGAGAAAAGGCTCAGGATGAATATTTCTATAAAAGCAGGATGTGGCCGGACGCAGTGGCTCACACCTGTAATCCCAGCACTTTGGGAGGCCGAGGCGGGTGGATCACGAGATCAAGAGATCGAGACCGTCCTGGTCAACATGGTGAAACCCCGTCTTTACTAAAAATACAAAAATTAGCTGGGCATGGTGGCGCACACCTGTAATCCCAACTACTAGGGAGGCTGAGGCAGGAGAATTGCTTGAACCCAGGAGGTGAGCTGAGATCGCGCCATTGCACTCCAGCCTGGGTAATAAGAGCAAAACTCCGTCTCAAAAAAAAAAAAAAAAAAGCAGGATGTGATGGTAAATTTTATCTGTCAACTTGGCTATGCCACATTGTTGGGTTAAACACCAGTCCAGATGTTGCTGTGATGGCATTTTTAAAATGAGATTAACACCTACATCAGTACACTCTGAATAAAGCAGATGACCTTCCATAATGCTGGTCGGCCGCATCCAATCAGTTGAAGGCCTTAGAGGATAAAAGACCAATCTCCCTGGAGAAGAAGGGAATTCTGCCCACACACGGCCTTTGGACCCAAGACTGCAACTCCACGTCTTCCCTGGTGTCCAGCCTGTCCGCACGCCCCACAAGTTTTGAGCTTTCTGGCCCCACAAGCATGAGAACCAATGCTTTAGAAGCAGTTTCTCCTCTCTCTGGCTACACACACACACACACACACACACACACTACTGGTTCTGTATCTCTGGAGCACTCTAACACACAGGGTTACAATGGGGATTAATTTCCTGTGTGTTCTGAATCACAGGAGCACGGGAACTCTCAGCCTCATTCAGGTAAGCAGTTATCTCTACTGTGGCTGCTGAGACCTGGAAGCCTCCCTTTGACAGGGAAGCTCCCGACACCGGATGCCTGAGGTCCGCAGCCTGCATCTGAGCACAACACACACATTACCGGAGTGCACAGTCTGAGGCTGGGCTGATGCCAGCAACCAAGCCCATGACGGAAACACCCCGCCCGGGAAAAGCTGTCCCGGTTCCCTCCTTGGAAGTCTGAGAGGTGCCTGGGGAGCCCCGTCCTCCTGACTGCCCTCCCTGATTCGGGTGGAATGAGCCTTTGCCATCACACCAGGCCTCGTCTGCTGCTTACTCCCCATTAAGAAACCATGCCAGGTGTCTGAACGTTAGTTGAAGATCTGAGTTTGCATATTGCTTACACAGTCTTCTAATGTAACAGAGTTTAGGGAAACGTATTCAGAAGCAATCGATCGGCCAAAGCGGTTTAAAGAAAATGTGTTTTTATGTCACTTGTTTAAACAGATTCCCTGTCATGAATCCAATAAAGCAACATCAAATAAAATAAAATGTACCTTCATTCCTGGTAAGCCTGGTGGTCCCTAAAAAAGAAAATGTTGGTGTCAGTTTTGTTTTTCTCAAAAATATCATTAACATTAAAAATGTTCATATAATATTATACATAAAATATAAGTTATTAAAACATAAGCAAAGAAAGAAACGGAAATGGAATGAGAAGAAAGAAATTATAAAAAGAAAGAAGTTCTGCCCTTAAATAACCCTATACTCACGGGATTTCCAGTGAAGCCAGGCAAGCCGGGGGGCCCGAGCGGCCCTCTCTCTCCCTGGGGAGACAGCAGAGCATCATTTGCGCGCACTGCGCGGGGCACACACACCACCCCTGACACCACATGAGTTACTTGGCCCTACCCTTCATCTGCTGGTTAAAGTCTTTTCTTAAAAACAGCTGGTCACAAGCTATGCAACTGTGTACCACTTTGTGAAAGAAGAAATATACTTGATAGTATCGTTATTAGGGGCAAAGGCTCATAATGGCATTTTCCTACTTGGTGTGGTAATTGATTAAAGGTAATAAGTTTCGTGCTTAAAAGCAATTTTAGGATAAAAGTCTACCAAAAAAGAAAGGAACAATTATATTTTTCTGCTACACTAAATATGGGAAAACTGTATTTCCTTACTAAATAAAGGAAACTTCAGGACAAGTAACTTTCCAACTGTGGTAAATAAAACTCGGTTAACAGAATCACACTCCCTGACTCCTTAATATGCAAAATTATATAAACACGCTCGAAAAGGAGGGTCTCGGTTCTGGACTTACCTTGGTGCCGTTGCATCCTGGAATACCTGGGGGGCCTGGCGGGCCGTCTTGGCCAGGAATACCCTGTGATTAAGGAGGTGAAAATGTAACCCAAATAGAAAATCACCTGATGGAAAAATATTCCATGAAACAAGTAGAGTGCATTTTCTATACGTACGGGAAGTCCTGGGTTTCCAGGGTAGCCAGACGCTCCTGGGGGCCCCTGCGAGGGTGGAAGGAAAGCCTGTCAGTGAAGGGCTGGGAAACCTTACTTCCTCCTACACACCCCCCCGGTTAACAGAGTCCTGCCCTCATTTTTGGTGTCCAGAACACACACACAAAGCAGACAGTGCACTCTGCACAAGAGGCAGCAGAGGGCACAGCCCAGGGCACACCGCCCAGGCTTACAGGAGCAATTCTACACCAAAAGCACACTACTGCCATTCGCAACTGCGTAAATAGGGAACCGATCTACCTACCTACCAACCAATGAGTGGATAAAGAAAATGTGGAATATACGCCCCGTGGAATACAACTCAGCCATCAAAAGGAACAAAATGATGTCTTTTGCAGCAAATTGGATGGAGCTAGAGGCCATTATTCTAAGGGAAGTAACCCAGGAATGGGAAACCATATACCACATGTTCTCACTCACAAGCGGCAGCTCTCTATGAGGATGCAAAGGCTGGAGAGCGATACGGTGGACTTTCGGGACTTGGTGGAGGGAAGGCTGGGAGGGGGTGAGGGACAGAACACTGCATAGCGGGTACAGTGTACACTGCTTGGGTGACAGGTGCACTAAAATCTCAGGAGTCACCACTGAAGTGATGATTTGTCCACCTATCCAAAAACCGCCTGGACCACAAAAACCATTGAAATAAAAAAAATTAAAAGATGAATTTTTGAAAACCTAACTGTGATCCCTTCAAACATAAGGACACCATGCACAAAATAACTCTGCCCCATTTCATCTTCAGTAAGAGGTGGAGAGGAGGAAAAGTTAGCCTGGCCTAAAAATACCGTGACTTTTCCATTCAATGAAGTCGCCGCTGTCTAGCAGCATCAGCTGCCCCTTCCCCAAAATTAAAAAATGCCCAGAAGAGTTTCCTGAAGAACCACAAATAGGGGAAAGTGAGTTTGCAGAACCCGGGACTAAGGAGCTCAGCCTGTGCACTGGCCCGCGGGAAAGACCGGGGCTCAGGGGGTCCCGGGCTGCTCCTGGCTGCCCTGCCCGCCCCTGCTGCGTGAGCTGGGGGCCGAGGCGGAGGGTGAGGGCTCGGAGAACGGAGGGGAACGGTGCCTGGAAGCCTGGAAGCGGGCCCATCCCACGCAGGGAATCATCGATTGCGAGCGGCAGCCCTACTCACTCTTGTCCCTTTTGTTCCGGGTAGTCCTGGTTCTCCAGTGTCACCCTGGAACAGAATAGACACGCTGCTGTCATGGATCACTGTCATCTCAGAAACGCAGGCAATCTTCCCTCCACCCCACCCCCATTTCACAGCCGCGCTCATCCGCCCCACCCCCACCCCAGCCACCCCACCCCCCGTTTCCCAGCCAAGCTCATCTGCTCCCACCCCATCCCCCATCCGCCCCACCCCCCATCCCACAGCGTGCTTACCTTTTGTCCAGGTGGTCCCTGTGGTCCCTCGGGTCCTTGCATTCCGGGAAACCCGATGACACCCTGTAACCCTGGGAGGCCTCTTTCACCCTGCAGAAGAGGAACACAAGTCAGGGAAAAGGCGGCAGGAAAGAAGCAGAGGAAGGAACGGGTGCAACTGTGATGGCTGATTGTGTTCCTTGCTATCGTTGTTGTTGAGATGGAGTCTCACTCTCTTGCCCAGGTTGGAGTGCAGTGGCGTGATCTTGGCTCACTGTCACGTCCACCTCCCAGGTTCAAGTGATTCTCCGGCCTCCTACCAAGTTGCTGGGACTACAGGCACCTACCACCACGCTGGCTAATTTTTGTGTTTTTAGAAGAGACCTTGTTGGCCAGGCTGGCCTCGAACTTCTGGCCTCAGGTGATCCACCCTCCTCGACCTCCACAAGCGCTGGGATTACAGGTGTGAGCTACCACGCCTGGCCCGCGATGGCTAATTTTAGGTGTCAAGTTGACTGGGTCACAGATACCCAGATAGCCGGTAAAGCAGGATTTCTGGGTGTGTTTCCGAGAGATTGGCATTCTAATACGTGGACAGTAAGGACGGCCTTCCCTCTCCCAAGGTGACGAGGTACTGTTGTTAGCTGAGATCCGGATAGAACAAAAAGGCAGAACAGAAGCCAGCTCTCTCTCTTCTGGAACTCGGACACCCATCTTCTCCTGCCCGCGGCCATCAGAACTCCGGGTCCTCCGGCCTTCAGATTCAGGGACTTGCACCAGCAGCCCGTGGGCTCTCCAGCAGCTGGCCTTGGCCCGAGTTACAGTTCAGGCACCCGAGTTTGCAGGTGGGAGATCATGGAACTCCTCAGCCTCCATGATCCTACGAGCCAATTCCCATCGTTAATCTAACTACCATCCAGCCTTGCACAAGCCCGCAGTGAGTGTATGGAAACAGACAGCAACAACGACTTCAGGCAGCTTCGCTCTACTGTGCTTTAAACTCTTGAGGGCAGGAGTCACACCTCATTCCTGGCACGATGCTTTGGATATACTAAATGCCAAATGATTTCTTGGGTAAATAGAATAACAAATAGTGAGGGATTTTTCGCTGAACTAGTTATGATTTCGCACTATCAGTGGACCTCTCTTGTTAGTGACAGTCTCAGCGCTGAGATTTTGTGACAACTTCCAAGGCATCTTCCTCTTAGGAGACCGTTAGGAGGTGTGAGTGGGCAGAGTCCACAGTGTGGACCTCACGCAAGATGCTGAGCCTCCCCTGAACCATCACGGGGTGATGGTGGGCTTTCATGAGAAATGTCTTTCAAGAGTGTGTTTTGGGCCGGGCATGGTGGCTCACACCTGTGATCCCAGCACTTTGGGAGGTCAAGGTAGGTGAATCACCTGAGGTCAGGAGATCGAGACCAGCCTGGCCAACGTGACGAAACCCTGTCTCTACTAAAAAAATGAAAAAATTAGCCAGGTGTGGTGGCACATACCTGTAATCCCAGCTACTCAGGGGGCTGAGGCTGGAGAATCAGTTGAACCTGGGAGGAGGAGGTGGCAGTGAACTGAGATCGTGCCCCTGCACTCAAGACTAGGCAACAGAGTGAGACTCCATCTCAAAAAACAAACAAACAAAAACCCATAACTATGATAAGAAATCAAGAAGATGTATTTGCTTTACAGCATGTGGACTTTAATGCAGTCTTACCATAGGAACTGAGTAGATTAAGTAGCCATTATTAGCTGACTGAAAAACAGAAGGCAGGCACTTTGGAGATTACTGGTAGGATTACTCGGTGTTCAGTGCTTTTCTCAAAGTTGTGTTAGTTTAAAGTAAAAATAAACTGACCAGCTATACATTACATAACATAAACATCCAGTCGTCCTTCTCCCCAAGCCACTCAGCCAGCCCTGGTACTTACTGGTGAATTAACTGCCTGCCGCACTTTTACAAATGTGGCAAGGAGCTTACAATCCTGGAACTCAACCACCAGGCCTCCGTAGAGCTGTGTGTTTCATTCGAAGTATATGTCAGGAGTCTAGACACAGTATGCGGTTAATTTGGGAGAGATCGTTTCAAACGCTAGAGAACTGAATAAAATGGTCAGTGGATGAAAGACCTCAAGCCCCACAGTGTGGCACTGCCCCTTCAGGCCAGCAGCATCCAGGGAATCGGCCAGAGGAGCAGCCATGACCCCACGAGGCTCTGAGCCCAAGGTTTGACAGGGAAGGCTGGCTCCTTCTCCCTGAGGCCTGTGCCAGTGCGGAAGGAGAAACATTTGCAGACCAAGACTTGTTCAGATGAAGAGCTCCTTAAACACACCCATCCTTCGCCTGCAGTGATGGCCCCAGGACACAAGGGCAGAAAATCCCTTGTGAGGAGCTCTGGGGCACAAGGTCAGCAATCTGGGCCACCCAATTTTTGGATGTAGGAAGAGCCTCCTCAAACCAGAATAGGACTGAACTCCAAACAGCTGGCTAAAATAAATAAATAAATATGGACTTTGTCGCCACAAATAACCCAGCATCAGATAGGACGGAAATGAGAAAGGCATGTCCATGCAGAAGCTTTCTAATACACTTGGTGGAGTATTTTTAGTACTTGATTAGCACTGGCAGTATCGCCATGAGACACAATGATAAGATTTTATAATTCTCGATTTAACCATGGAATGCACGGAGGACCGGAGCCAGATTCACTGATTCCTAGTTTCTCACTGAGTCAGCACTACAGCCAGAAATAGAAATGAGGTCAGCCTTCACCACAGTCCCTGTTCTTTCTGGGTCACTAGAGCAAGCCGGTTCCCAGCAGAATATTCAACAATTCACCAGCTTCACGTTAGCCCAAGGTACCGACCCTTCTATGTCCATTTCACAGATAGGGAAAGATTCCAATGCTTCACTGACTTTCACATGTCACTGGGTGACCCCTCATGCTGCTGGGAACAGAACACAGAAATCTGAATTCCCAGACCTTGCGTTTACCGCAAGAACACATTCTTTCCCAATGTCACCAGAACGCTTAAGCAATCTATGTCTCCCCAGAGCTTTGAAATGAAGGAGCTAAGAAGGAAGTGACTCCTCCATGCACATGGGTCTTGCCATTCCCCACATTCTTTTTTAACATTCTTAATCTTTTGTTCAGATAAAAGTGCACACGAATAATCTAATACTCTGCACCCTGTCCAAGATTATTATGGGAACCAGGGCAGCGCAAACAGACAGGATAAGCACTTAAACAGCTATACAGTTAGCTGGCGACTAGCATGCTATATGGGGGCCAAATCATTCCTCTGAGCTTTTAGCACATCTCCACCGGGATTGTAAGAACAGCAAAGAGCTGGACAAGTTGTACAAAGGTTATTGGAGTCAGTAGTGTCCAAGCCAGACTTTGCAGCTGCTACTGGCAATGCAACAACCGTGACCTCCATGACCCCCCTTCCTCTGGAGCTCAAGGCGAATGTGCACAGTCAGGAGTCAGAGAACAGGCCCCTCGATCATCCATTTCCCATGGTGTGCTCAAGGCAAGGTCCGAAAATCCATGGCGGCCACAGACCTCCTGTCAGGCAAAAATGAAACCCACAGCCATCGTCTGTCACAGCAATGACTACTTAAAATGGAAGAGAGAAATGAGAAACTTGAAAAATATTACATGGAAAGTTTTCATGCAACTACACCTTGTGGTCTCGTTTCTGACCATCGGTGCAATGCAGGGCACTAGTCAAAACAGGGAATTTCTATGCCAAAAACGGAGAGGATGACCACTGGGTCCTCAGATGACGAAACTCAGCACGCGTGGCGGGAGAACAGAGTGCCGCTGTCTGTACAGATGAAGGAATGCAACATGGAGAATGAGCCTGGCGCCAAAATTAGCCATTCTAAGTTAGGCATGAAATAGGGTTTCATGCATGGAGCAACTTAACCTTCTTGCTTAATGTATTATCTAAAGCAAGCATCAACTTCTTAAAAAATCCTTCGAATGCGTGGAGAAAAAGTCATTTTATAACACCCAATTCTTTCTCTTCCTCTTCCAATACTTGTAGAAACAAGTTCACAATTCAGGACATCAAATGCTCAAATAAGCTTCCGTCACAGATAAGTCAGAAATCCAAATACAAATCAAGCACCCAGGACAGATGAAGTTGAAATAGCATGAAGCTTCTCAACGTGGAGGGAAAATATAATTACCAACAACAAAACTGATGTCAACACAAAATATACCTAGAATAAGCAGTCATCAGAATTCCTAAGGTCAAAGACCCTGTAACGCCTGTTTCAACAGCCAACATGGAATCTGTATCTTTAAATCAAAATTTGAACGGATTTTTGCAATCTGAACTACTGGGATCACAGAACTTCACCACAGACTGAAGCACACACAGAAATGCTGCCAGCACTCTGGAGCTTCCTCTGCGCACAGACTGAGTATGAGTACCAGGTCCGGGTACTGAGCATGGAGTGTACTGGGTATGGCAGCGTCCACGTTCTGGGGGCATTCATGGGAAACGAGCAGTGCTCATCAGGGAGACTGCAATTCCTTCTCCACCTTGACCCTGTAACTTCTTCACAGGCAATGCCATTGTTTCATTCATTCAGTGTTTGAATTCAATGAAAGTCATGGGATGCTGAACCAGCCAACTGCATGACATGAAGCTCAGCGTGAGGTAGGATTCCGCATGTGAATCCTAAAAACTTGAAAAGGTAGTAAAAAGTTACTGGGCAGGACAGGACCCCCGATGCCTTTGCAGTCTAAGAGTTTTGGGCACCGTTACAGACTGGCCGGAGTCTGCAGCAGTGGCTGACAGGCGCAGGGAAAGCTCGCGCTCGGACCCTGCGCCACCCTGGTGCTGCTGCCGCGGCTTTCTATCATATGGCGCCTTGAGATTTCCATTTACGAGCAAGACTGCAAACCATTCCAGGAACGAAAGCCCTCACATTTGAAGCCAGCGCTCAGCAAGCATCCAGTGAAGGAGAAGTGATGTCAAGGATGGCTCACAGTCGGTGCGTGACTGCGGAACTCTGCCCGGAATTCCACAAGGCCAACTCCCTGAGCCCAACCACCATCAGACATCGGCAGGACCATTTCCTGAGTGCCGCCGCCGCTGGGA